TGGGGAAAGATTATCTACCATTTCATAAAAAAAGGGGGGGGGGGATTTTGCGACACCAGGAGACACCTCAGGATTTGGGGTTGCGACAGTCAAGGGGTTAAAGCACGAAATCATAGATAAACAAGCGAGGTGTGCAGGTTTTGGGTTGAGGGGGAAGCAGGCTCATAACTCAGAGCACAAAATCGACCGATTGACATCTCGTATCTCAAAAAGCTCGTACGTTGGGACACTCCTAAGTCAAGGTTCCACTGTATTTCTTCCATTTTATCGACCGAGTACAAGAAACCTAATCAACTATTTCAACTACCCAATAAAGTGACAAGAAATTGGTAATTTAGCCAGTTTTATACAAATTTCAAAATACACGAGGACCCGTATCCTCAGTTTACCATGGCCAGAAAATGACCCTTAATTTTGCTTAATGGCCTCAAAGTGCAAAAGTAGAGGGGATTTAATTTCTTCAAAGCCATCAGTGAAAAAGTGATAATTGTCCATTTTTCTTTTCAACAAGTCGGCCGTCTCCCACCGAGGCAGGGTGACCCAAAAAGAAAATACGTACTTTCAGCATTATTCAACACTTTCACCTCATTCATACATAATCACTGTCTTTGCAGAGGTTGCCCAGATACAACAGTTTAGAAGCATATATAAAGATATATAACATATCCCTCCAAACTGCCAATGTCCCAAACCCCTCCTTTAAAGTGTAGGCATTGTACTTCCCATTTACCCCTCTTCAGCCCTCTGACTAATACTTTTATTAACTCCATACCTCCTAATTTCCACACACTGAATTCTATGCATAATATTTATACCACACACTGCCCTTAGACAGGACATCTCCACTGCCTTCAACCGCCTCCTCACTGGAGCATTTACAACCCAAGCTTCACACCCATATAAGAGTGTTCGTACCACTATACATACTTCCATACATTCCCTCCTTTGCCTCCATAGATAACGTTTTTTGTCTCCACATATACCTCCTTCATCAATTCTATGGTTAACCTCATCCTTCACAAACCCATCCACTGGCACGTCAACTCCCAAATACAGTGGTCCCTCAATAATCGTCCAGCCTGATAGTCGTCCATTTCGGAAATCGTCGCGTTATTTCGTCTAAACATTGGCTTGCAAACGGTCCTTTAACTCGCTAATCGTCTTTCGTCCTGGACGCATACTCACGGCTCTGAGCCGCCTCGGCCTCCCTTCCCAGCCAGTGTGCCATTGTTTACCAGTGAGCGACGGTCCCTTCACGTGTTCGTACGAAATATTTCATAATATTCCATTCATTTTAGTGCTTGCAAGTGCTAAATAAGCTACCATTGCTCCAAAGAAAGCTCCTAGTGCCAAGCCTTTGGTAAAGAAGGTGAGAAATACGACTGAATTTAAGAAAAACATCATTGAACAATATGAAAGTGGCGTACGCGTGGGCGAACTGGCCAGGATGTATAACAAATCCCATACAACCATATCTTCCATCATAGCCAAGAAAAAGGAAATCAAGGAAGCTGTTGTTGCAAAGGGGGTAAATATGCTGACAAAAATGAGATCACCAGTACTTGAAGATGTTGAGAAGTTATTATTGGTGTGGATAAACGAGAAACAATTAGCAGGAGATAGTCTTATGATGTCGATCATTTGTGAAAAGGCTAGGCAGTTGCATGATGATTTGGTAAAGAAATTGCCTGCAACTAGTGGTGATTGAGTGAATTTAAGGCCAGCAAAGGGTGGTTTGAGAGATTTAAGAAGTGTACTGGCATACACAGTGTGATAAGGCATGGTGAGGCTACCAGTTCGGACCAAAAAGCGGCTGAAAAATATATGCAGGAATTCAAGGAGTACACAGAGGCTGAAGGACTGAAACCTGAACAAGTGTTCAATTGTGACAAAACAGGCCTCTTTTGGAAGAAAATGCCAAAGAGGACCTACATTACTCAAGAAAAAAAAGGCACTGCCAGGACACAAGCCTATGAAAGACAGGCTGATGCTTATGTTCTGTGCTAATGCTAGTGGGGATTTCAAAGTGAAGCCGTTACTAGTGTACCATTCTGAAAATCCCAGTGTGTTCAAGAAAAACAATGTGTGTGTTTTGGAGAACTAATAATAAGGCATGGGTCACGAGGGAAATTTTCGTCAAGTGGTTCAATGAAGTGTTTGGCCCTAGTGTGAAGAATTACCTCCTGAAAAAGAAATTGGATCTCAAGTGCCTCCTAGTAATGGAGAATGCACCTGCTCATTCTCCAAACTTGGATGACCTAATTCTGAAGGAGTTTGGGTTCATCACAGTAAATTTCTTGGCCCCGAATACCACTCCTCTCCTCCAGCCCATGGACCAGCAGGTCATTTCAAACTTTAAAAAACTCAACACCAAAGCAATGTTTCAAAGGTGCTTTAATGTGACCTCAGACACTCACTTGACCCTAAGAGATTTTTGGAAAGAACACTTCAGTATTCTCCATTGCATAAGCCTTATAGGTAAGGCTTGGGAGGGAGTGACTACCAGGACTTTGAACCCTGCTTGGAGAAACTTGTGGCCAGATTGTGTCTACATGAGGGATTTTGAAGAGTTTGAGGAGGCCCCTGATGAGCCTATGTCAGTTGTGAACTCTATTGTGGTGCTGGAGAGTTCCATGGGGATTGGATGTGAGTTTGGAGGATGTGGAAGAGTTGGTGGAGGACCACAACGAAGAGCTAACCACTGAGGAGCTGCAAGAGCTTCAGCAGGAACAGCAACAGATCGCAGCTCAGAATCTTGCTGCAGAGGAGGAAGAGATGGAAGAAGGTGCCTTCTTCAGAAATTAAGGAGATTTTTGAAATGTGGGGTAGGATGGAAAGATTTATGGAGAAACATCACCCTGAGAAGGATGTTGCAAGCCATATCGGCAACTTGTACAGTGACAGAGTCTTGGCCCATTTTAGGGAAGTTTTAAAGAGATGCCAGAAACAGAGCTTTCTGGACAGTTTTTTTGTGAGACAAGACTCCAGTGACTCTCAAGCTGGTCCTAGTGGCATTAAGAAACAGAGAAGAGAAGTAACCCCAGAAAAGCACTTGGTACCCGAGATGTTGACGGAAAGGGATTCCCCTTCCAAAAAGTAATTCAATCTCTCTCCTCCTCCAGTCTCCCATACACTAAGAAGAATCACCAATAAAGGTAAGTGTTATGCTGTTAATGTTTCATTCATCATGTCACATTGTATTGTTTATGTACTACATCTATATTTCATGTAAAAAAAATTTTTGTTTTAATACTTCTGGGTGTCAGGAACGGATTAATTGTATTTACATTATTTCTTATGGGGAAAATTGATTCGAAAATCGTCTATTTCAATAATAGTCCCACTTCCAGGAACGGATTAAGGACGATAACTGAGGGACCACTGTATCTGAAAACATTCACTTCCATACTCCTTCTCTCCAATGTGATATCCAATTGTTCTTTATCTAAATCATTTGATACCCTCATCACTTTACTCTTATCTATGTTCACTTTCAATTTTCTACCTTTACACACCCTCCCAAACTCGTCCACTAACCTTTGCAACTTCTCTAGAATCTCCCATAAGCACAGTATCATCAGCAAAATCTAACTCTGTTAACTCCCATTTTGTACTTGATTCCCCATAATTTAATCCCACCCCTCTCCCCAATACCCTAGCATTTACCTCCTTCACAACCCCATCTATAAATATATTAAACAACCATGGTGACATTACACATCCTTGTCTAAGACCTACTTTTACTGGGAAGTATTCTCCCTCTCTCCTACACACCCTAACCTGAGCCTCACTATCCTCATAAAAACCTCTTTACAGCATTTAGTAACTTACTACCTTTTCCATACACTTCCAACATCTGCCACATTGCTCCCCTATCCACTATCATATGCCTTTTCTAAATCCATAAATGCAATGAAAACTTCCCTACCTTTATCTAAATACTGTTCACATATATGCTTCAATGTAAACACTTGATCTACACATCCCCTACCCACTCTAAAGCTTCCTTGCTCATCTGCAACCCTACTCTGTCTTACCTTTAATTCTCTCAATAATAACCCTACTGTACCCTTTTCCTGGTATACTTAATAAACTTATTCCTCAATAATTTTTACACTCTCTTTTGGCCCCCTTCCCTTTATATAAAGTAACCATTCTCCACTTATTGTGTGTTATTTATCAATTAAACTTATAAGATATGTATTCGACTTATATACAGGGTTCGGTACAATTTGTAGTTTTGGGATCTGCGTCAGGTTCTTGAAACGTACCCCCCACAGATATGGGCATTCTACTGTATTCCAATTTTAAAATAGGGTCCAGGACAAACAAGGCAGGCATTCCTGACATTAAAATAACATTTTCTCTGTTCATTAGTTATGTTCCCAGGCTTTACGTGTGAATTTCGTTTTGATTTTTTTATTCATACAAAGAATTTTTATTTACACAAAAAAATAGATTTACTGTTACGCAATACTGTAATAATTGTAGAAATAATATCAGTATTTTAGACCCACCAGTTAGATGTATACTGGAAGAGTGACATGATTTGTTTACCCTTGAGTATCAGCACAAATTTAACATTTCTGTTACTTTGAGCTCAATTTCAAGCTATTTTCAGTCCTAAAACCAATCAAAATCATTGCTACTTCTGTAAATGTATCTTCCATTCCATCAAATGAGACCAAGAAACTATGAATACAACCATAAAAATCATATGAAAATACAACACAAATTTGCTGTTTTAAACCAAAAATGCTGTTTTAGTTTTCCTCATTATGCACTGCATGCTGCACATTTATTGCACAGACCCATTCTCTCATATCTAGGCCCAAATTTGCCACTCACAATTTATCTGAGTGAGCTGAGCTCATGATGTAGCACTACGGCACCCACAATGACCTCAAATCATGGACAATGAAAGGGTTAAGATTTATCTGTCAAGTTTATGGAAGATTTACATGACCATTGAAAAAATAATTTACTGATTCAAGACTTACCTCCACCTCCACCACCACCGCCTCCAGGCTGTCTCTGTGTCCAAGATGGCATCTCTGGTGGGGGTGGCTCCAGCTCATTAGCACGACCACCTCTGTCTGGAACTCTGCCAATTATGATCTTAAAAAAAAAAAAAAAAAATTACATTTTACTGAATACTGTAACTGCACACAGAAAGGAAATGTAAAACTAGAAATACATCTAGAGATAATACAGTGGTCCCTCGTTTTTCGTAGTTAATCCATTCCTGGAGTTGCTACTAGTATTATCGAAATCTACGATTTGCAAATCAATTTTCCCCATAAGAAATAATGTAAATACAATTAATCCGTTCCTGACACCCAGAAGTATTAAAAAAAATTTTTTTTACATGAAATATACGTGTAGTACATAAACAATACAATGGGAAATGATGAATGAAACATTAACAGCATAACACTTACCTTTATTGGAGATTCTTCTTAGTGTATGGGAGACTGGAGGAGGAGAGATTGGATTGTTTACAGTTTGGAAGGGGAATCCCCTTCCAGCAACACCTCAGGTACCAATTGCTTTTCTGGGGTTGCTTCTCTTCTCTGTTTCTTAATGCCACTAGGACCACCTTGAGTCTCACTGGAGTCCTGTCTCGCAAAATAACTGTGGAGAGAGCTCTGCTTCTGGCGTCTCTTTAACACTTCCCTAAAATGGCCGAAGACTTTGTCACTGTACATGTTGCCAACATGGCTTGCAACAACTTTGTCAGGGTGATGTTTCTCCATAAAGCTTTCCATCTTACCCTACATAGCAAAAATCTCTTTAATTTCTGAAGAAGGCACCTTCTTCCATCTCTTCCTCCTCCTCCTCCTCTGCAGCAAGATTCTGAGCTGCAATCTGTTGCTGTTCCTGCTGAAGCTCTTGCAGCTCCTCAGTGGTGAGCTCTTCGTTGTGGTCTTCCACCAACTCTTCCACATCCAACCCCATGGAACTCCCCAGTGCCACAATTGATTTAACAACAGATATAGGCTCATCAGGGTCAGTCCCAAACCCTTGAAAATCCCTCTTGTCGACACAATCTGGCCACAATTTTCTCCAAGCAGAGTTCAAAGTCCTGGTAGTCACTCCCTCCCTTAGGGTCAAGTGAGTGTCTGTGGTCACAGTCAAGCACCTGTGAAACATTGCTTTGGTGTAGTTTGCAATGACCTGCTGGTCCATGGGCTGGAAGAGAGGAGTGGTATTCGGGGGCAAGAACTTTACTGTGATGAACCCAAACTCCTCGAAAATTAGGTCACCCAAGTTTGGAGGATGAGCAGGTGTATTGTCCATTAGTGGGAGGCACTTGAGATTTAATTTCTTTTCCAGGAGGTAATTCTTCACACTAGGGCCAAACACTTCATTGAACCACTCGACGAAAATTTCCCTCGTGACCCATGCCTTACTATTAGATTTCCAAAACACGCACAATTTACTCTTCTTAACATTGTTTTTCCTGAACACTCTGGGATTTTCAGAATGGTACACTAGTAGTGGCTTCACTTTGAAATCCCCACTAGCATTAGCACAGAACATTAGCGTCAGCCTGTCTTTCATAGGCTTGTGTCCTGGCATTGCCTTTTCCTCCTGTGTAATGAAGGTCCTCTTTGGCATTTTCTTCCAAAAGAGGCCTATTTCATCACAATTGAACACTTGTTCAGGTTTCAGTCCTTCAGCCTCTATGTATTCCTTGAATTCATGCACATATTTTTCAGCCGCCCTGTGGTCCGAACTGGCAGCCTCACCACACTGTGTATGCCAGTACGGTTCTTAAATCTCTGAAACCAACCTTTGCTGGCCTTAAATTCACTCACATCACCACTATTTGCAGGCAATTTCTTTACCAGATCATTGTGCAACTGCCTAGCCTTTTCACAAATAATCGAAGTCATAAGAGTATCTCCTGCTAATTGTTTCTCGTTTATCCACACCAATAATAACTTCTCAACATCTTCGAGTACTGGTGATCTCATTTTTGTCAGCATAGTTACCCCCTTTGCAACAGCAGCATCCTTGATTTCCTTTTTCTTGGCCACTATGGAACATATGGTTGTGTAGGGTTTCTTATACATGCTGGCCAGTTCGGCCGCACTTGTGCCACTTTCACATTGTTCAATGATGTTTTTCTTAAATTCAATCGTATTTCTCGCCTTTACCACAGACTTGGCATTAGGAGCTTTCTTTGGAGCCATGGTAGCTTATTTAGTACTTGCAAGCACTAAAGTGAGTGGAATATTATGAAATATTTCGTAGGAGCACGTGAGGGGACCTTCGCTCACTGGTAAACAATGCCAGACTGGCTGGGTAGGGAGGCCGCCCCGGCTCACACTGTGCGTACGCATCCCGGACGAACTACTATTCGTGAGTCAACCTATGATTAGCCAGCCCATGTTTATACGAAAATATCCCTATGATTTCCGAAATCTACGATTCCTGAGAACTACGAAAAACGAGGGACCACTGTAATGCCTTTTTGTGGTTAAATTCAATTGCAAATCAAGTTTTATGGCAAGATATTTACCAAAGTTAATTTTAGAATGAAAAGCAGCCATATCAGTCATTCCTTGTCCTGAATTTGTTTTGTACAACAAATGCAGTAGGGTTGCTGAGGTGGTTTGGACATGTAGACAGAACGGAACGAAACAGAATGACAGTGTATAAATCTGTAGGGGAAGGAAGGCGGGGTAGGGGTCGGCCTAGGAAAAGTTGGAGAGAGGGGGTAAAGGAGGTTTTGTGTGTGAGGGGCTTGGACTTCCAGCAAGCATGCATGAGTGTATTTGATAGGACTGAATGGAGATAAATGGTTTTTAGGGCTTGATGTGCTGTTGGAGTGTGAGCAGGGTAACTTTTGTGAAGGGATTCAGGGAAACCAGCAGGCCAGATTTGAGTCCTGGAGATGGGAAGTACAGTGTCTGCACTCTGGAGGAGGGGTGTTAATGTTGCAGTTTTATAACTGTAGTGTAAGCACGCCTCTGGCAAGACAGTAATGGAGTGAATAATGATGAAAGTTATTCTTTTTTGGGCCACCCTGCCTTGGTGGGAAGCAGCCAATGTGTTAATAAAAATAAATTAATGTAGTAGCAGTAGGTTGGCAGACAGTAACCAGCCAGGGAAGTACTACTGAAAAAAATGGCACAATACCGTGACTGGAACGATACACAAATAACCCGCACATAGAAGAGAGGAGCTTACGATGACATTTCGGTCAGACTTAGACCATTTACAAAGTCACACTAACGAAAAGGAGAGAAGGAGGGGTATATATAGGCAGGAGGTGGTGGTAGTAGTAGTGGAGGTAGAAGGTAGTAGTAGTGGGGAAGGTAGTAAGAAGGAAGAGGAGCCAGTCAAATACTAAGAGGAGCACTGGAAGGGAGCTAGGTGCCCACAGAGGGTAAGAGCAAGAACACAGAGGGCAGAGGGAGGAAAAAATAAAATAAATAAATAATGAAGGAACAAATACACAAGGCAGAAGAAAGACAACCCAAAGGAGAAAAAGGAAAGAGGAAAGGGGAAGAGAGAAGAAAAAGGAGGAATCAGGTTAAGTTACAGGTGTTCTGAAATTTGGAGCATTTTAATTTTACAATGTAGTGGGAAAGGAAGGCATCTACAGAGACGAAGCCAGGACTAAGATTCATACAAGAAAAGCTGTGTATTAGGGAGGATTCAGCCAGATGGTGACTGTTGAAAGTAAGGAACACAGTTTTAGCAGAAGACCAGTCAATAGGATGGCTGTGATCTCTGACGTGACAAAAAAGAGCACTGTTAGTGTCAGCAAGCCTAACACTACTTTCGTGTTAGCCTTGCCCTCTGATGGGGAGTTTTGAACCAAGTGAGAGAGTACTTGTAGTGGGAGACCTAAATGCTAAAGTGGGTAAAATTGCTGTGGAGGTAGTGGTAGGTAAGTCTGGGGTGCCAGGAAAAAATGAAAATGGATAGCCTTTAATTATGTACAGAGAGAGATTTGGTAATACATATTACATATTTCAGGTAAGAGAGGATAAATATGTATACAAGATATGATATAGCATGTACTGATAGTAGTTTGTTAGATTGCAATGCTGGATAAAAGGATGATGGGTAGACTTCAGGATGTGCATGTTTATAGGGGGCAACAGATACACAAGATCATTTTTTTAGTTGTAGCTACAGTTAGAGTAAGAGGAAGATGGGACAAAAGGAAAATGGCAACAGCAAGTAAGAGAAAAGTGAAAGTTTATAAACTAAGGGAGGAGGAAGTTAGGGTGACATATAAACAACTATTGGGAGAAAGGTGGGCTAATGAGAGTATAGGTAGTATGGGGGTTGAAGAGTGGGATAGTTTTAAAAAGGCAGTGTTAGAAAGCACAGCAGAAGTTTGTGGTTATAGGAAGATGGGTGCAAGAGGAAAGAGGAGTGATTGGTGGAATGAGGTAAAGTGTGTGTTAAAACAGAAAAAGGTCACGTATGAGAGATTTTTACAGAGCAGAAGTGATATAAGCAGGGTTCAGTATATAAAGAGTAAAAGAGGTTAAGAGAGTGGTGAGGGAGTGCATAAGGAGAGCAAATGATAGTGGGTGAGGTGCTGTCAACAAATTTTGCTGAGAATAAGAAAATTTTGGAGAGAGATAAATAGGTTAAGAAAGACTAGGTAATGAATGAATTTGTCAGTTAAAAACAGAATAGGGGAGTTAGCAGATGGGGAGTTGGAGGTATTGAGAAGATGGAGGGAATATTTTGAGGAACTTTTAAATGTTGATGAAGAAAGGGAGGCAATAATTTCATGCATTGGCCAGGGAAGCATAACATCTTTTAGAAGTGAAGAAGAGCCAGACGTGAGTGTGGGGAAGGTGCGCGAGGCATTAGGTAGAATGAAAGGAAGTAAAGCAGCTGGAACTGATGGGATCATGACGGAAATGTTAAAAGCAGGGGATAAGGAGATATAGTGTTGGAGAGGTTGGCACTTTGGTTGAACAGATGTCTGACAGAGGGGAAAGTACCCAGGGATTGGCAGTGTGTGTGTATAATTCCTTTATACAAGGGAAAGGGGGCAAAAGAGTTTGTAAAAATTATAGGGGAAGAAGTTTACCGAGTTCTTCATTGGGAAGTGGAACAGAATTCTTCCTCCGTAAACCATGCTGCATGACGTAAGAGGTGACTAAAATACCAGGAGCAAGGGGCTAGTAACACCATCTCCTGTATATATTACTAAATTTAAAGGAAAGAGCTTTCATTTTTCTTGCTGGGCCACCCTGCCTCGGTGGTAAACGACAGTAGTACTAGTTTACTGAATATACTAGGTAAAGTGTATGGTAGGGTTATTATTGAAAGAATTAGAGATAAGACAGAGCAGGATGAACAAGGAGGCTATAGAATGGGTAGGAGATGTGTAGATCACGCATTTACATTAAAATATATAAATGAACAATATTTAGATAAAGGTAGGGACGTTTTCATTGCATTTATGGATTTAAAAAAAGGCATATGATAGGGTGGATAGGGAAGCAATGTGGCAGTTGTTACAAGTGTATGGAATCGGTAGCAAGATACTAAAGGCTGTAAAGAGTTTTCTTGAGGATGGTGAGGCTCAGGTTAGGGTGTGTAGGAGAGGGAGATTACTTTCCAGTAAAAGTAGGCCTCAGACAGGAGTGTGTAATGTCAGCATGGTTGTTTAACATATTTATAGAGGGGGTTGTAAAAGAAGTAAATGCTAGGGTATTGGGGAGAGGGGTGGGATTAAATTATGGGGAATCAAATACAAAATGGGAGTTGTCACAGTTACTGTTTGCTGATGATACTGTGCTTCTGGGAGATTCTAGAGAAGCTGCAAAGGTTAGTGAACGAGTTTGGGAAGGTGTGTAAAGAAAGTTGAAAGTGAACATAGATTAGAATAAGGTGATACAGGTATCAAACAAGTTAAGCAAAGAAAAATTGGATATCACATTTTAGGGAGTATGGAAGAGGTGAATTTTATTTTTTTTAATGTCAGCCGTCTCCCACCAAGGCAGGGTGACCCAAAAAGAAAGAAAATCCCCAAAAAGAAAATACTTTCATCAACATTCAACACTTTCACCTCAATCACATACAATCACTGTTTTTGCAGAGGTGCCCAGAATACAACAGTTTAGAAGCATATACATATAAAGATACACAACATATCCCTCCAAACTGCAAATATCCCAAACCCCTCCTTTAAAGTGCAGGCATTGTTCAGATATTTGGGAGTAGATTTGTCAGCAGATGGGCTTATGAAAGATGAGGTTAACAATAAAACTACTGAAGGAAAAAAGGTGAGTGGTGCATTTAGGTGTCTGTGGAGACAAAAAAACATTATCCATGGAGGCAAAGAAGGGAATGTACGAGAGTACAGCAGTACCTCCGTGCATAACAAAAAAAAAAAAACGTTATCCATGGAGGCAAAGAAGGGAATGTACGAGAGTACAGCGGTACCAACATTCTTCTATGGGTGGGAAGCATGGGTTGTGAATGAGAGGAGGCTGGAGATAGTGGAGATGTCATGTCTAAGGGCAATGTGTGGTATAAATATCATGCAAAGAATTTGTAGTGTGGAGTTACAAAAGTGTTATTCAGAGGGCTGAAGAGGGGTTATTGAGGTGGTTTGGTCATTTAGAGAAAATGGTTCAAAATAGAATGACTTGGAGACTGTATAAATCTGTAGTGGAGGGAAGGAGGGGTAGGGGTAGTTCTAGGAAAGGATGTGTTAGATAGTAGTGAATGGAGACAAATAGTTTTTGGGACCTGATGAGCTGTTGGAGTGTGAGCAGAATAATATCTTGTGAAGTGATTCGGGGAAACCGGTTAGCTGGACTCGAGTCCCGGAGGTGGGAAGTACAATGCCTGCACTCTAAAGGAGGAATTTGAGATATTGGCTGTTTGGAATGACATTAAATTGTCATAATTGGGCACCTCTGCAAAGACAGTGATAATGTATGAATGATGGTGAAAGTGTTTCTTTTTGGGCGTCACCATGCCTTGGTGGGAGATGGCCGGCGTGTTAAAAAAAAAAAAAAATGCAAGGATAGCATAATTAAGCATGGTATGCTAAAGGATGAAATTAAAAAATTGCATGACAAAAAGTGCAGATTTTACATGCTATTGGTAGATGAAAATGAATGCTACAGAAAAAAAAAAAAAACATGTTTCCCAACCTTCACTTTGTGGAAAGGTTAAATCAACTTCAAATATTCAAAATGTTGTTAATTAAGTTTGTTTCTGGACAAATGAAGCAAAAATGCTCAATTTTTTCTACTCTACCCTATGGAGTAATTACTGGCTCCACCTCAAGCTAAGCTTACATAGAAGTTCTCTTCAACAAACTTCACGGAAATGTTAATAAATAAAATAAACAAATGACACTAAATGGACAAACACATTAGGAACTAGTGTGATGTACTGATATTTAATAAAATCTGCTCAGAGTTTTTACAATGGAGTCTATATGACTGAAGAAAACTTACCTACATCATATATTTACCTTATTTAGAGCAGATTTTGTCTGTTTGCGAACAGATGCACTGCTGGTTTTCTCTAGAACAGCTAGATCCTCGCGAGCAGCAAGCACATCACCAATTGAGACATTGGGTTCCTCCTTCATTTGATCACGTCTAGACCTGAATGCTTTTGTTAAATCATTTTCTCGCATCTTTGCTTTGTCTGACCACTATGAAAAAATAAAAATAGATGCATTGTTAATTTTACAAAATTAAATAAATGAAGAATTATAAATGCACCATTTTGCTGGTGACAAAATTTCTCCTGTAAATGATAACTCAAAACACCTTAAACAGAGGTTTATATTATAAACCTATTTTTCAAGCACTCGTTTAATCATATTGGTATAACCTAAGTTTTTGAACTGTAGTATCAATATGCCTCTGGCAAGACAGTGATGGAACTAGTGATGATGAAAGTGTTTCTTCTTTTTCGGGTCACCCTGCCTTGGTGGGAAACAGCATGTGTGAAAGAAAACATACTTTCATGTATGTATAATCAATTAGAAAATTAAATTAATTTATTTTTCTCTGAATTATCTAATCATTTGTATGATGTCAGTGCCATAAAGAAACATCACTCTTATTATTAAAAAATGGAATGCTAAAGCTTACACGTGGATTTATTTCATTGTTGCAAATAAACTTTGAGAAGTAACCATGCAAGATGAGAACTTAAGCTACAACATAAATTTGCTACACTGTAAATCTATATAACTGGTCTAAAAACTTCACAAATCTCTCATAAGAAAGGCATGATTCCTAACCTGAAATGACTGTACTGTGACATCCAGACGTTTAATCATCATCTCTCTTCGCATTCTATATTCGTTTTGCATTTCCTTTTGCATCTCCTCCAACATCTTCCATTGCTTGTCTGTTAGGACACCAGTGAAAAGTGGTTTACCAATCAGAGAAGCATGAGCTTTACTTTTAACGTCATTCACCTGAAAGGAGATGAAAACTTGTAATTCTCATTATATAAAGCAAAATATTTTCATAAACTACCATAAATAAATTTTAATGGATATACAGAGGAAAGAGAATGAGTGACTTTCACAACCCCAAATCCTGAGGCGTCTCCTGGTGTCGAAAATTTTTTTTGGGGAAAAAAAAAAAAAATTTCTTATGAAATGATAAGAGAATCTTTTCCTGACGGTAATGACACCAAAAGAATGAAATTTGAATTTGATAGAAAACTTATGGAATTATGCTCTCGCGAAGTTAGCAACCTCGGCGATACAGTGGACCCTTGATAAGCATGAGGCTTGAAAGTAGTAATTTTCGAAAAAACGTAACATCATTTTCGCCAAAACTGACTCGTGAATTGTCGTTTGACTTCCAAATAGTCGTTTGTCCCGGACGTGTACTCACAGCTCTGAGCCGCCTCACACTCCCTTCCCAGCCAGTGTGGCACTGTTTACCAGTGAGTGATGGTCCTCTCACTTGTTCATACGAAATATTTCATAATATTCCATTCGTTTTAGTGCTTGCAACTGCTAAATACGTTACCATGGCTCCAAAGAAAGCTCCTAGTGCCAGGCCTTCGGTAAAGAAGGCGAGAAATACAACTGATTTCAAGAAAAGCATCATTGAACAATATGAAAGTGGCGTACGTGTGGCCGAACTGGCCAGGATGTATAAGAAACCCCATACAACCATAGCTTCCATCGTGGCCAAGAAAAAGGAAATCAAGGAAGCTGTTGTTGCAAAGGGGGTAAATATGCTGACAAAAATGAGATTGCCAGTACTCGAGATGTTGAGAAGTTATTGTTAGTGTGGGTCAACGAGAAACAATTAGCAGGAGATAGTCTTATGATGCCACCGTAGTGGCATACACAGTGTGATAAGGCATGATGAGGCTGCCAGTTTAGACCAAATTCCAGCTACAAAATTTGTAAGTGAATTCAAGGAGTACATACAGACTGAACAATTAAAACCACAACAAGTGATGAAACAGGCCTCTTTTGGAAGAAAATGCCAAAGAGGACCTACATTACTTGGGAGGAAAAGGGACTGCCAGGACACAAGCCTATGAAAGACAGGCTGATGCTCATGTTTTGTAGTAATGCTAGTGGGGATTTCAAAATGAAGCTGTTACTAGTGTACCATTCTGAAAATCCCAGAGCATTCAAGAAAAACAATGCTATGAAGAGTAAATTGTGTGTCTTTTTGAAAGCTAATAATAAGGCATGGGGCATGAGGGAAATTTTCGTTGAGTGGTTCAATGAAGAGTTTGGCCCCAGTATGAAGAATTACCTCCTGGAAAAGAAATTGGATCTCAAGTGCCTCCCACTAATGGACAATACACCTGCTCATCCTCCAAACTTGGATGACCTAATTCTGGAGGAGTATGGGAGTAAAGGAGTAAAGCTCTTTCCCCCTAATACCACTCCTCTCCTCCAGCCCATGGACCAGCAGATCATTTCAAACTTTAAAAAACTCTACACCAAAGCAATGTTTCAAAGGTGCTTTAATGTGACCTCAGACACTCAATTGACCCCAAGAGAGTTTTGGAAAGATCACTTCAGTATCCTCCATTGCATAAGCCTTATAGGTAAGGCTTTGGAGGGAGTGACTCCCAGGATTTTGAACTCTGCTTGGAGAAAATTGTGGCCAGATTGTGTCCATAAGAAGGATTTTGAAGGGTTTGGGGCTGACCCTGATGAGCCTATGGCAGTTGTGGAATCTATTGTGGGGTTGGGGAGTTCCATGGGGTTGGATGTGAGTTTGGAGGATGTGGAAGAGTTGGAGGACTACAATGAAGAGCTAACCACTGAGGAGCTGCAAGAGCTTCAGCTGGAACAGCAACAGACTGCAGTTCAGAATACTGCTGCAGAGGAGGAGGAAGAGAGATGGAAGAAGTTGCCTTCTTCAGAAATTAAGGAGATTTTTGAAATGTGGGGTAGGATGGAATAATTTATGGAGAAACGTAACCCTGACATGGCTGTTGCAAGCCATATCGGCAACTTGTACAGTGAAAGTCTTGGCCCATTATAGGGAAGTTTTAAAGAGATGCTAGAAACAGAGCTCTCTGGACACTTTTTTTTGCGAGAGGGGGCTCCAGGGACTCTCAAGCTGGTCCTAGTGGCATTAAGAAACAGAGAAGAGAAGTAACCCCAGAAAAGGACTTGGTACCTGAGGTGTTGATGGAAGGGGATTCCTCTTCCAAACAGTAAATAATGCAATCTCTCTCCTCCTCCAGTCTTCCATACACTAAGAAGAATCGCCAATAAAGGTAAGTGTTATGCTGTTAATGTTTCATTCATCATGTCCCATTTTATTGTGTATGTACTACATCTATATTTCATGTAAAAATTTTTTTTTGTTTCAATAATGCTGGGTGTCTGGAACGGATTAATTGTATTTACATTATTTCTTATGGGGAAAATGGTTTCGAAAACTGTTAATTTCGAAAATAGTCTCACTTCCTGGAATGGATTACGAAAAACGAGGGGCCACTGTATTTATTAATCGGCGATTTTGCCCACTTTGAGCCCTATTTTCGGCTAATTCCATTGTTCCAGTCGACCAAACTCGTAGCTATTTCTTTAAAACTCCATTTGCTCTATTGATTGAGCACAAGAAACTGCCCATTTACTGATTTCAACTACCCAATAATGTGGTCAGGAATTTGCAATTTGGTCAATTTCACACAAATTAAAAAATATGCCTTTTTAAAAATAAGGTCCAGAATGAACAAGGCAGACATTCCTGGCTCTAAAATAACATCATCTCTGTTCATCAGTCACATCTCCAGGCCCCTCTGATATTACTCTTTCTTTCTATTTTGAATTTTTATTCAAACAAAAAATAGAAGATTTACTGTTATGTAGACTACTGCAATATTGTAATAACTGTAGAAATAATGTCAACCCATTCATGACCGCATATTAGGATGGCTAGCTGGACATTTATTGCACAATGACATTTGTTTACTTTTGAACATCAGAAAAAATCAAACATTTCCCCTACTCTGAGCTCCATTTCAAGGTTCTTTTCATAGTACAGTGGAACCTCAAATTTTGAACATATCGCTTATTGAACTCTTCGAAAATCGACTGCTTTTTTCGAACCAACTTCGTCCCTATATCAAACTAGCCCCTATTTTCGAACCGCCAGGTACCGGACCTGTCCGCCTTCTTCAAAGATTAAGAAGATTTGCGCCAAGTGGAATGATGTCCAAATGTTTGTGGAGAAGTACCACTCTGAGCAAGCTGAAACAAGCCATCTTTGCAACAAGTTCAGTTATAAAACCATGTCCCATTTTAGGGAAATCTTAAAGAGGCACCAGAAACAGTGGACTGTGGACAGTTATTTTGTGAGACAGGGGTCCAGTGACTCTCAAGTTGGTCTTAGTGGCATTAAAAGACAGAGAAGGTAAGTAACCCTAGAGAGGGCTTTGATACCTAAAGTCCTTATGGAGGGGGATTCCCCTTCCAAACACTAACCCCAACTCTCTCTCTCCTCCTCCATATCTTCCAGATGCCATCACCAATCTTCAATAAAGATAAGTAAAAATGTTATTTTATATTTTTTTTTATTTTTATTATCACACTGGCCGATTCCCACCAAGGCAGGGTGGGACTCTCCTCTTCCTATCTGATAGTTCTGACACTGATGAAGTGGAAATGAAGACGAATTCTATGGCTTTGATCAGTTAGTGACCGAAAGGAATGACCAGGATATCGATAATAGTGCAGAAAATCCTGACGATCCTCAACCTTCTACCTCTGGTGTGGGCACTCGTGAGTCACGGTCGGTTGTGCCTCAACGCAAGAGAAAACTAATATTTTCGCATGGCCAGGCCTCTGACTTCAGTAGTGATGATGATAGTGACGTGGATTGTGATTTTATTGCGCTTCACGATCATTCGAGTAGTGATAGTGAGGAATCACATTCACCAGTGAAGCGTCGGTATGTTCGCCGCCGCATGCGCTCGGGTAGTGTACCCTATGCTGTGCCCAGGGGACGGAGTACATCCCGTGATAGTGAGGATGATGTGGCTACACTTGGCATGGATAGACCACAGGCATCAGTAGATGGTGGTAGTGGCGATGGTAGTGGCACCGCCATGCGTGACTCACCAGCCCAGGCTGGGACCCACGCTGCTGACTTGTCAGTTCAAGGACAAAGCGGAGCGTCAGCCACCAGCCCACCACAACCACAACCACCCGCACAACCAGCCTATGATGTCCAGTATCCACCAGCAAACTGTATCTGGGATTGGCAGCAAAATCCCAATTTTGTTCCCAAGCCCCACCACTTTGATGACTCTCAAAGTGGAATTCTACCTACTTGTCCCCTTGGAACCATGGCCAATGAACTGGAATTCTTTGAATTATTCTTTGACCAGCCATTGATGGAAACTATTGTCAGGGAAAGTAATAAGTATTTTGAGTACACCATGGCAAATACGATCATATCACCACAGTCAAGACTACACAGGTGGAAAGAGACGACTGTTGCAGAAATGTATTTGCTTTTGGCAACAATAATGCTTATGCCTCATGTCTATAAGCATAATATAAAAGCATACTGGTCCACAGATCGGCTAATTTCTACCCTGGTCTTCAGTGAAAAGGTTTATCTTACTGTTACGCATGTTGTACTTCTCTGACAAAACCAGGCCTGACAGAAGTGACAGGTTATACAAGATTAGAAATGTTTTCATGTATCTCAAACAAAAGTTCAGCATATACTTTTATCCATTCAAGAATCTTGTAATTGACGAGTCTTTGATTTTGTTCAAAGGTAGACTGTCATTCAAGCAGTATATACCGAGCAAGAGGAAACGCTTTGGTATTAAACTGTTTGTACTCTGTGACTGTGACAGTGGCCTGGTGTTGGATATTGTTGTATACACGGGAAGTAAAACATTTAAAGATACCAAGATGTTACTGGGTATCTCAGGTGACATAGTGAGAAACATGATGGCACCTTATCTTGGTAAGGGGCATACATTATATACCGATAAATGGTACACAAGCCCATTACTCAGTGATTTCATGCCAGTGAACAAGACAAATGTGTGTGGCACAGTGCGTTCTAATTGTAAACATGGCATCATGGCATTACGGTGGCATGACAAACGAGATGTCACATTGTTGACAACCATTCACCGTAATGAAATGCAAGACAGTGGCAAAGTTGATCGAGTGACTAATGAACATATTCGAAAACCAGTGACAGTGATTGATTATACACAAAACATGCGCGCTTGGTTGGCAAATGTGACATGCAGAATGGTTTTGCTGATTGTGTTCGTAAGAGTTACAAGTGGTACATGAAACTTTTCTTCCATCTCATGGACATTTCAATGCTCAATGCATATAATATGTACCAAATAAAGACTGGCAACAGACCACCGTATGGTGAATTTTGTTTGTCTGTTGTCAGACAACTCATAATGAAGTACCAGGTAAGAACACCTGCTATACAACAAGGTCCTCGAATTACTCAGGATATACCCAAGCGTTTGAGGAGGGAAGGTGATCTTTTCATAATACAGCTTCCTTCAACTCAGAAGAAATTTGCTCAGAAGAGATGCATCGTCTGTACACAAACAAAACGACGGCAACAAAGACGCAAAGACACTCGGTTTATGTGTGAGGAATGTAAGGTGCCTCTGTGCATGGTGCCTTGTTTCAAGGAGTTCCACAAGCTCCAGCAGTTCTAAAACCATGTCCAGTGATTGTAAATATGTAAATGTATGATAGAACATTATTATTATACAAGATTTGTGCATGTTTATTGTAATAAACAACAGTGGTAAACAATAATATGATAATAACTTTAGTGCGGTTATTGTGTTCAATACAGTGAGTTTATATATATATACATTATATACAGTATTGGTCTCTCAGGCCCCAAATGTTAGTAGGAAAAGAAAAAAATTGGAAAAGAAAAGAAAAAAACTATAAAAACCGCTAAATAAAGTAATGCGCGTATGTGGAATTCGTCGGAACTGTATCTCGGTAAGTACTGATCAGAATTTTTTTTTTTTGTCTTATTACCTTCACAAAAATATGCTCTTTAATTCTGTAAAAAAAAAAAAAATTTTTTTTTCAAAATTTCTTGGACACGGGAGCACCACTTCAGATTTTGGCCTTGGACCCTGAAGGGGTTAATCCAAAAACATGATCGGAGTTTTTTTTTTCTCATTATGCACTGCGTGCTGCAGGATTTTTTTTATATGGTGCACATTGACCACACAGACCTATTCTCTCACACGTGGGCCTACCAGCTTTCTCCTGCAGGTACCAAAAAAGGTATATGTGGGTCAATTCACTAATGAGTCAAGTTTTACTATGAGACTGAGCAAGATAAAAATTTGCATCTCCTGGATCTTCCTTATTTGGCAGGATAATGGTGAACCAGTTGATTTTTTTTAGGACAGACCAGCAGATATGTAATTAAACTCTAGATATTAGCTTTAACCAAATTAAAAACTAATCACAGGACCACAAGTTAGAAGAGAAACCTGAACAACCACAAGTGAAAACTATAACCCTCCATATTCATTGAAAATAAGTTTCAAATCATGAAAATATCACAAAAAGTTTTTAGACATACACTGAATTCAAGACTCTAAATTGCTTGTATCTCATATTATGTTGTACCTTTAAGGATTTACAGTACAGCCAGTTTTCTTAGATTCATCCTATCAGGAAAGTACTATCAGTGAGGCCCTGCTGGTGCCCAGACACCATGGACTGTCACCATTTACTGTGAATTTTTTTCTATACATTTTCCTCTTTTCTTTCTTTCTTTCAACACAACGGCCGTATCCCACAGAGGCGGGGTGGCCCAAAAGGAAAAACAAAAGTTTCTCCTTTTACATTTAGTAATATATACAGGAGAAGGGGTTACTAGCCCCTTGCTCCCAGCATTTTAGTCGCCTCTTACAACACGCATGGCTTACGGAGGAAGAATTTTGTTCCACTTCCCCATGGAGGCAAGAGGAAATAAACAAGAACAAGAACTAGAAAGAAAATAGAAGAAAACCCAGAGGGGTGTGTATATATATGCTTGTACATGTATGTGTAGTGTGACCTAAGTGTAAGTAGAAGTAGCAAGACGTACCTGAAATCTTGCATGTGTACGAGACAGAAAAAAAAGACACCAGCAATCCTACCATCGTGTAAAACAATTACAGGCTTACGTTTTACACTCACTTGGAAGGACGGTAGTACCTCCCTGGGCGGTTGCTGTCTACCAACCTACTAACTCTTATGATTAGCAAATAAAAGCACAAAGTGCAAATATATCGATTGTGGTAAATAACATGTGGAAGGGGCTTTAGGAAATATTTATCCCTGAAAATAAGAATTCCATAAAACAGGAACAGTGGTTAGTTAATAAATCAAGTTAGTCCATGACATTTTTTTTTAACTATACCTAGTATTTAATGTACAGATATAAATAATACAAGCTAATTAATCACTTACTTTCTGTTCCACCTTTACAAAGAGCTGCTGTGGAGTAATATTGGCAGGAGGTTTAGGGAAGCCCAGAGCAATAAGCAATTGTTTTAGGTCACGTGCATGCTCAGTCTCGCGCTGAAACAAAAATAATTGCAAATCAGATAAAATAAACACAACAAGACTGTAGTCACTAGTAATTACAATATTTCTACATAATTATGCATAGAGAGCAATGGACAATGGCCATGACAGACAGATTACATCATGTTCAAATAAATTTTGAACATTTTATTTCAAGTTGATAGGTAGGCTGTTCAGTGCTCTGGGTACCTTTACAGAAATGGTGTCTATACAGATTCAGTCATAGAGATTTTGAAAATTTATATATTTTTTGTGGGGTGTCTGTTGGAATTATTTTATAACTCTCCAGGGTCCTGTAACTATATTAAGAACAGTGGTACTATATCTGTTAATATGAATAGCTCCAAGATTTACACTAAAGATAGGTGTATGTTATATACAAGTAGAAATTTCTAAAATTTATCTGCCAACTCTCCTGTTTTGAGAGACAAAGTACTGCAATGCTGCCCGAGTGCAGAATATCATATTCGTGCAAAGTGCCAAACCCAGAGGGATCATACATTTATTGGGAATGATATATAATCAGGTATGATTCAAGTAACAGGAGAGTAAGGGCAATTCCTTGTATCAAGAACACTTCGCCAGTCTCATAACATCCTCCTTGAAGGGTGAGTGCAGAACATTTAATAGGATACCATTTCCCTCATATGAAAGTACCTCCCTGTATGGTCGCTGTCAGCTAACACTTGTGTAACGGTGCTAGTGCAGATTGACAAGTTCGAAGTATTTATCTATTGTAGATTCCATGCATAGATAACCTATTTACATACTCATGGAAGTGATTTATAAACTTCTAAATGAGGCATGGATAAATTAGTGTCAAGTATTGAATATGTAATGTAAATTAAGATAAATAGTTAAAGGTTACTGTCGTCAACAGAATAAAATGCCTTTTGCACATCAAATGTGTAATTTGATATTCACTGTTTTCAATCCTTGTGTAGATTACGTTAGTCACTTGTGCCCCCTCTGGCTCTGATTCCAAACTAGAAAGGATTTAGAATTATGCACCTCATTATGCTCAAGAATCTTCAAGCTTTGTGCCAAGAAATATCACTAATTTATTATCAATAACAGTTTTGTAAATTAAATAAAATACATTAATAAGTCTTTCTCTCTTTTTCATCACTCTACCTTAGATGAAAATGGCTAAAGTGATATAAACAAATGGAAATACAAGTTAGTAAAATAAGTGATAATTTGTGGACTTACCATCTCAACTGTCATGCTCTGGTCAGGTTTTGCTGCAGATATCATACGTGCAGCCATAAGTTCGGCCAATATGAAATCAAGTAAAAGAAGTCGTGACTCAGCATTGCTCAGTCTCTGGCTCATGGGTCCTTCAGTCAACTGACTGTGCGGGCAACCTGAAATATTATTAGATAAATCAATAATCAGAATATAATGAAATGTTCAAATTGGATGGTTTTTACCAGGTAGTCGTTCATGCAAACAGATTCTGGGAGATCTGATAGCTTACTACCTACATTTGCATCACCAGCCATATTACTTTTCACCCTATCTTATGTTTTTCCCAAACCAATAAACAATACAAACAGCTTATCACCCATATCTAAGAACTGTCCATTTAAATATTTGAATACAAAACGTCAGTATACATATGCACAGTGCTTTTCCTAACCAATGTAAGATGGCAGTTAAATTTTCACCTACTCTAGTTCCACAAAAAAGTTAGCTTACTCAGTTCCTTGAGAAATGAAGAGACCTCCATGATGAAAGCTGAATGATCATCTGGAGAGGTAGTTGCATTGACCATTTCTTCAAGATTTGCTAAACTTCGTAGCTCACCAGTCACCCATGCAACCAGCTTAGTGTAGGCTACATTGTGTGGTCCTCCACCACTCCCCTCAACCGCTGCCTTCAAACTGGCTTCATCATTTATGTCTCCAGAATACCTGAATTAAAAATAACTTTAATAATGTAAGACCTTAAATATTAACTTGTCTCTTACATCTATGGACGATCATATAAGATCATTAACAAATCACCTTTAATGAAAATCACAAGCAAGTACATGAGTATGTAGGAAAGGCAGCTAACAAGAGATCCTGAAAGTCCATACTGAGGCTATCTGGCTACATTATAGCTATCTCTAATCTTGTCTAGATTAGCATAGTGTAGCAGGCGGCTTTCCCTAATTTTCAATTTCTTGATGATCAATAAACAATGTGAAATGAAAATTTCACATGGATTAAGAAATGCAGTACATGTACTTCTGAAAGAATATTTAGTGGTTTCGAAATTTTCTTAGATATGCATGTGCTCGATGCAAGTGTTTAATTTTGGCCTCGTGTCAAGATATGTATTGTACTTGTCTGTCAAGTGTGTAACATTGACTAATGTTTAAATATTTTAGCTTTATCTTCACATTTGGGAGAAGGCCTTATCAATATTGAGTGGAAGTTTAATAAACATCATCCAAGTAGGTATCCTCACAAACTTGTCATTAACAATGTTGTTGAAGACAAATGTGTCCAGATTTGAGATAGCAAAGTTGTCACCTGCAAAAAGAACTGGTTTAAATTTCTGATGGGCATTTGATAGGTCATTAATGTAGACGAGATATAAGATGGCCTAGAAAGCTGCCCTGTAGCACTCCTAGGTTGACAGGTCAAGTTCATGAAACATTGTCATTAATGGTCACAGCATGATTTCTAAGTGTTATAATAATAATAATAATAGAAATAATAATAATAATAATTATTTCTACAAGTACACATACATGTACAAGGTATACAGGCCTAGTTGACATCAATAACATACTATATAGAAAGCCCCTTGCTATGCAGAGCAATTTGGGCAAATTAGGAAATTTTTGTCCCCAGAATGCGACCCACACCAGTTCACTAACACCCAGGTGCCTATTTTAATGACAGGTGAACACTGACAGCAGGTGTCTTAAGTAAATACTTCCTAACATTTCCACCTGTACTGAGGATTGATCCCCAGACCTCAGTGCATAAGCAGAGTGAGCTAGCAATCAAGCTATATTTTGTAGCCATGTAATTATTCTGTCATTTTGATACTGCATCTTCTTGCCTTGTGGGAGAAAACAGGTGACCATTCCTGAATCCTGATGGGTAAAGGTAAGATTATTTTTTTTTTTTTTTTTTTTTTTGGGGGGGGGGGATTATTCACCCAGAGGGTTAGTAACCCAGAATAACCCAATGAAGTCAGTTCATCACCAAAGGCTGTGGTCCTTTAACCCTTTCATATAGTGACTTAAAAAAATAATTTTATCTTCTAAAATAGTAGAGAATTTTTTTTTTTAAGGTAATGATACCAAAAATGCAAAATGGAAAATTTACAAAATTGCATAGTTGTGTGATGTTGGCGGTCTAAGAGCAAATTTACACATCAGTGATTGTGATCCTCTACTTCTGGAAGTCATCAAAGGTAAAGGTATATGTTGAAACTTACAACAGTGGCAACTCTGGCAAAATTATTATTATAATCAAGGGGAAGCGCTAAACCCGTAGGATTATACAGCGCCTGGGGGGATGTGGAAGGCATTCAGGCTTAATTCGGGGAACTGGAGCACAGATCCAATTCCCTGACCAACATCAAGGAACCTTCCCTGAGGCACCTCTGGCAGAAACTTTGATATATGGCCCCCCAAAAAAAGTCACCAAAACATTTTAAGAAAATTTATAAAATAATGTGTCGTTATTGTTGAATAATCTGAAAAGAATCTTTCAAAGTTAAAATATTACTTAGTAAACACATCTTATGTATTGATTTCTCTAGAACAAGGAACACTTCCAGAAATATTTACTCATTTTAATATAAAAGATAGAAAACAAACAAAACAGGAACAATCTAAATAAATTAATACTTATACTGTTGCTCCTATAATTATACGACGTTAATCAAGATGTAAAAGTTGATAATATCCTGAGAGTCGTAAGTTGAGAAAAACCAACACAAATGGGTTAGTGAGACTAGAACACATGTTGGCTCCTGACTCCAACACTTGCTAATAACAACCATCACCAGAATGCTGTAGGCACTGCGAGTGCTTCTGTCTTACCCCAGATCCTCAAGTGAGTCCAAAATATCATTCTCCATGATGGTGTTTAAGCGAGAGGTGTAGCAGGAGGGACCGGCCAGCCCTACCTCCACCACACGCCCGACACACAGCCTCACACCATCCCCAGGATGAACTACAACACTATTTATACTCATCAATATATCCAGCATTATATAATTTTGTCAATCAGTTAAATACACAGACAACATATCTCTAATATAAAAATCTGCAATGCAGTTTTAAATATTTACAAAAAAATACCTCATGCTTTTTCTCTCTTAAACATTATAGAGAACCTTCCTAATTATCACTAAGCAATTTTAATTTATAAGACCATTTAGTTAACATCTACCAATGGACAAACCAATTTATATTTACTCAAAAATAATCAGTCTATATAAAATCGTTCATCGTTCTTGGAAAAAAAATCCTCGTTCAGACACGTGGTCCAAAGAATTTCTATTCATAAATTTTTCGTTTATTATTCACAGAAATTTTAATCAAGCACAACCTTGTAAAATATGAATTTAATTTTTCATAGTGAATTAATGCTTTTCTAGTTTCTAGTGGCAAAAATGGTAAACAAACGATACGTTTTGTTGTATAATAAGGATATCGAACAAGTTGACATCTTCGCAAAGGAACAACAAAAACAAAAGAATATGAATATTTATTATTTGTCAATTGCTTTTTTTAATATTAAAATATTACAACAACATAATAATAATAATAATAATAATAATTATTATTATTATTATTATTATTATTATTATTATTATTATTATTATCATCAAAAAGAAGCGCTAAGCCACAAGGACTATACAGCAATAATAATAATAATAATAATAATAATAATAATAATAATAATAATAATAATAATAATAATAATAATAATAGTTACCTTATTCTAAGACGTGTAAACCATACTTTGTGGAAATAAAATTAATCATAATCATCGAAGTGGGAAGTGCTAGAAGTGTCACTAACACACATATGACCATGGACTTTGCATAATAAAATTATCATAACCAAACGCTAAATCCATAAGGTGATTTATATAATAAAGCTATTAAAGAAGCGCTGAACTAGGAGAGGGTCATACAGCCCATGAGGGGTGGGAGGCAATGTGGTTAAGATAAGATAAGATAAGATTTCGTTCGGATTTTTAACCCCGGAGGGTTAGCCACCCAGGATAACCCAAGAAAGTCAGTGCGTCATCGAGGACTGTCTAACTTATTTCCATTGGGGTCCTTAATCTTGTCCCCCCAGGATGCGACCCACACCAGTCGACTAACACCCAGGTACCTATTTGCTGCTAGGTGAACAGGACAACAGGTCTAAGGAAACGTGTTGAAATGTTTCCACCCGCCGGGAATCGAACCCGGGCCCTCCGTGTGTGAAGCGGGAGCTTTAGCCACCAGGCCACCGGGCCACCGGGTTCGAACCAAGGAAGATAGGTTAGGTTCATTTCCTTGGTTCAAGAGCCCTTCACCAGGCTCAAGGCAACCCCCTTTGAAGACTGTCACCTGAGCAGCAGAACTGTCGAGCTCAGAACAACTAACAACAGCACTAACTTCCCCATCATAGTCTATCACTGTCCTTGGGGTCAATCTTGACCACCACCTTCGCATACACACACACATCCACTCAAACCTTGCCATAGCTAGTAAAGTTCTCACAGGTCTCTACAAAACTCTAATACGACCTCTGATTGCTTACTCTCCTCTAGCCCTCTCTCTTGCAGCTAAGACCAACAAACTTAAACTGCAGCGTCTCCAGGATAAGGCTCTGCGCTGGGTGTTAGATGTCGGCTGGGATAACTTCGTCACAATCGAGTCACTCTATGCCCAGTCGGACATTCCTGCTCTGAACGTGTACAGGAAGATGCTCAGTGACAGACAGATAGACAAACTAGAGACACTACATGACTACTGGACCTCTCACCTTGACGAAGACATTCGCAGACCTGTTAACCCACACAATATATTCTACTCCTTGTATGAGCCTGCTCCTAACCCTATCTATAGATAACTGCTCTCACTAGCCTCTCCTAACAGGTGTGGACCTTAAAAGATGTACCTTTTGTGAAATCACCCCCCCCCCTCCTCCCTACATCACCATTGGATTTTCTTACAGGTACTTGCGCATGTTCGTTTTGGCGTCGGCCAAATCTGTTTTGCCTTATCAGTCCTCCTAGCCACGCCAGTCTCTGACCCACGTTTGTATTAACCACTGGGTTAAGCCCTGGTGCTATCCCTTCCACTGTTAACCTTGACAGGAATATAATTGAATCATTGTTTTCAAATTTTGATTCATTTATAATTAATATTCTACTGTACAACTATGAAATAATTACTCCTACTGTACAACTATGATATACTCCTTAGTATCAAGTAGACTTTAAGCCAATAATGTTAAGAGGCAATGGTATGGTGATACCGACAAGATGTGGAAAAAGACACTTATGTACAGTTCAGGACATTTATTAAAGGAAACGTTTCGCCACGAGTGGCTTCTTCAGTCCTAATACAGAGAAAACTAAGAAAACACACATATATATAGTGGTGGGAGTCAGGTGAGGTGAAGCGTGGGTAGAGGTGGTAATAGTAGTAGTAGTAGTAGTTGAACTAAGGAGGTGAGGTTAGAGAGGGACCTGCTGGCAGGTCCCTCTCTAACCTCACCTCCTTAGTTCAACTACTACTACTACTACTATTACCACCTCTACCCACGCTTCACCTCACCTGACTCCCACCACTATATATATGTGTGTTTTCTTAGTTTTCTCTGTATTAGGACTGAAGAAGCCACTCGTGGCGAAACGTTTCCTTTAATAAATGTCCTGAACTGTACATAAGTGTCTTTTTCCACAATAATGTTAAGTTGGCCCATAATGTCTAGGCATAATAGAGGCTCTCTGCATTGCAACCCACTATTGTAAATACAAAATCTCAATGTAGTTTGCAAAGACATAAAATAAATAAATAAATAAATAAATAAACCTTCCTCTCACCAACCAACTCTTCCACTATCCTCACTTTCCCTCCGACCCCACAAGGGTTTTAACCAATACTCTCGTCTTGAGAACATGGCTGTCACTTGAGCAGCAGAACGTGACTGTGACTTGAGCAAGTCCCAATATGACTCAGTTTTTAGCAAGCCGCTAACCACACTGAGAGTCGAAGATCTAAATGAATTTTTTATGAGAGCCACAGAATTTGGTAAACACAAGCCTATCTGACATTATCCTGACGCCAAATGACTTCGAACAGGTGATAAATGACATGCCCATGCACTCTGCCACAGGGCCAGACTCATGGAACTCCGTGTTCATCAAGAACTGCAAGAAGCCCCTATCGCGTGCTTTTAACATCCTATGGAGAGGGAGCATGGACACTGGGGTAGTCCCTCCCACAGTTACTAAAAACAACAGACATAGCCCCACTCCACAAAGGGGGTAGTAAAGTAATAGCAAAGAACTACAGACCGATAGTGCTAACATCCCATATCATATTATTATTATTATAATCAAGGGGGAAGCGCTAAACCCGTATGATTATACAGTGCGTGGGGGGGATGGAAGGTATTCAGGGTTAATTCAGGGAACTGGAGCACAAATCCAGTTCCCTAGATCAAGAGCCCCTCACCAGCATCAAGGAACCTTCCTTGAGGGGATCCCATATCATAAAAATCTTTGAAAGGGTCCTAAGAAGCAAGATCGCCACCCATCTAGATACCCATCAGTTACACAACCCAGGGCAGCATGGGTTTAGAGTAGGTCGCTCGTGTCTGTTCCAACTACTGGATCACTATGATAAGGTCCTAGATGCACTAGCAGACAAAAAGAATGCAGATGTAATATACACAGACTTTGCAAAAGCCTTCGACAAGTGTGACCAAGGCGTAATAGCGCACAAAATGCATGCTAAAAGAATAACAGGAAAAGTTGGTAGATGGATCTATAATTTCCTGACAAACAGAAGACAAAGAGTAGTAGTCAACAGAGTAAAGTCTGAGGCGACTATGGTGAAAATCTCTGTTCCGCAACGCACAGTACTCACTCCCATCTTGTTCCTTATCCTCATACCTGACATAGACAGGGATGTAAGCCACGGCATCATGTCTTCCTTTGCAGATGACACCCAAATCTGCATGACAGTGTCTTCCATTGCAGATACTACAAGGCTCCAGGTGGACATCAACCAAATCTTTCGATGGGCTGCAGAAAACAACATGAAGTTCAACGATGAGAAATTTCAATTACTCCAATATGGTAAACGTGAGGAAATTAAAACTTCATCAGAGTATAAAAAAAATTCCAACCACACAATAGAGCAAAAAACTAATGTCAAAGACCTGGGAATGATCATGTCAGAGGATCTCACTTTCAAGGACCATAACATTGTATCAATTGCATCTGCTAGAAAAATGACAGGATGAATAAGGAGAACCTTCAAAACTATGGATGCCAAGCCCATAATGACACTCTTCAGGTCGCTTGTTCTATCTAGGCTGGAATATTGCTGCACACTAATAGCACCTTTCAGGGCAGGTGAAATTGCTGACCTAGAAAATGTAGAAAACCTTCACGGCACACATAACTGAGATAAAACACCTCAATTACTGCGAGTGCTTGAAGTTCCTGAACCTGTACTCCCTGGAATGCAGGCAGGAGATACATGATTATATACACCTGGAAAATCCTAGAGGGACTAGTAGCACACTTGCACACAAAAATCACTCCCTACAAAAGCAAAAGACTTGGCAGACGATGCCACATCCCCCCAATGAAAAGCAGGGGTGTCACTAGCATGTTAAGAGATAACACAATAAGTGTCAGGGGCTCAAGACTGTTCAACTGCCTCCCAGCATACATAAGGGGGATTACCAATAGACCCCTGACTGTCTTCAAACAGGCACTGGACAAGCACCTAAAGTTGGTACCTGACCAGCCGGGCTGTAGTTTGTATGTTGGACTGCGAGCAGCCAGCAGTAACAGCCTGGTTGATCAGGCCCTGATCCACCATGAGGCCTGGTCACAGACCAGGCCGTGGGGGCATTGACCCCCAGAACTCTCTCCAGGTAAACTCCAGGTGAGCAGCAGAACATGACTCACCTGAGCAGAACATGACTGTCACCTGAGCAGCAGAACATGATTATAATGGGGGAGCGCTAAACCCATAGGATTATACAGTGCATGTGGGGCGGGGTTGATGGAAGGTATTCAGGGTCAATTTAGGGAGCCAGAGCACAGATCCAGTTCCCTAAATCACGAGCCCCTCACCAGCATCAAGGAACCTTCCTTGAGGGGAGCAGAACGTGAATGTCACCTTAAACATCGTCATCCATAACTGTCATTGTCAGCCACAATTAGAATTCATTTTATATACTGATGATTTCTTTACTAGTTTTTTTTTTTCAACAAGTCGGCCGTCTCCCACCGAGGCAGGGTGACCCAAAAAAGAAAGAAAATCCCCAAAAAAGAAAATACTTTCATCATCATTCAACATTTTCACCACACTCGCACATTATCACTGTTTTAGCAGAGGTGCTCAGAATACAACAGTTTAGAAGCATACACATATAAAGATACACAACATATCCCTCCAAACTGCCAATATCCCAAACCCCTCCTTTAAAGTGCAGGCATTGTACTTCCCATTTCCAGGACTCAAGTCCGACTATATGAAAATAACCGGTTTCCCTGAATCCCTTCACTAAATATTACCCTGCTCACACTCCAACAGATCGTCAGGTCCCAAGTACCATTCGTCTCCATTCACTCCTATCTAACACGCTCACGCACACTTGCTGGAAGTCCAAGCCCCTTACCCACAAAACCTCCTTTACCCCCTCTTTCCAACCCTTTCAAGGACGACTCCTACCCCGCCTTCCTTCCCCTATAGATTTATATGCTTTCCATGTCATTCTACTTTGATACATTCTCTCTAAATGACCAAACCACCTCATCAACCCCTCTTCTGCCCTAGTATCACTAGTTATATGCTGCTGAAGAAGTGCAGATACAGAAAGGAACACTGGCACAGCCATGGATTGGGGGCTCCTGGATGCAAATACCTTTCGTTTCTCCAATTAATAGCTAATTTCCACTGTATTATATTGACTAGTGCACACTGTAAGCATGACTAAGATATTTCATATACAGTGGTACCTTGACTTACGAGCGCTCCAATTTATGAGTTTTCCAAGTTACGAGCTGTTGCTTGGTTCATTTTTTGCTTTGAGTTGCAAGCCACAATCAGAGTTACGTGCGAGCTTCAGATACGCTGCCAATTAGTGGCGGCGTATCTGGCATCAAATCCAACTCTGTACCCAGAGGAATGTCAAGTACTTTGTCCCATCCCACATGCTCTTCCAAGACATAACTGGAAGGATAATACTCCCACACTAATCCTAGACTGTAGTGAGGCACCTCATCTTTTGTTTGATTCTTGTATAAATCCGGGGAAGAGGTAACCTCCATTTCAACACTCAGAGTTTTTCCAGAAACATTAAGGTAGGTGGAGCACTGATAAGTGGTGGGTGGAGTAGTGATGGTGGTGGGTGGAGTACTGATGGTGGTGGGTGGAGTAGTGATGCTGGTGGGGGAAGTAGTGATGGTGGTGGGTGAAGTAAGATAAGATAAGATAAGATTTCATTCGGATTTTTAACCCCGGAGGGTTAGCCACCCAGGATAACCCAAGAAAGTCAGTGCGTCATCGAGGACTGTCTAACTTATTTCCATTGGGGTCCTTAATCTTGTCCCCCAGGATGCGACCCACACCAGTCGACTAACACCCAGGTACCTATTTGCTGCTAGGTGAACAGGACAACAGGTGTAAGGAAACGTGTCGAAATGTTTCCACCCGCCGGGAATCGAACCCGGGCCCTCCGTGTGTGAAGCGGGAGCTTTAGCCACCAGGCCACCGGTGGTTGGTGGAGTGGTGGTGGTTGGTGGAGTGGTGGTAGTGGGTGTAGTACTGATAGTGGTGGGTGGAGTACTGATAGTGGTGGGAGGAGTAGTGATGGTGGTCAGTGGAGTGGTGGTGGTGGGTGTAGTACTGATAGTGGTGGGCGGAGTACTGATAGCAATGGGCAGAGTACTGATAGTGGTGGGCAGAGTACTGATAGTGGTGGGTGGAGTAGTGATGGTGATGGGTGGAGTACTGATGGTGGTGGGTGGAGTAGTGATGCTGGTGGGGGAAGTAGTAATGGTGGTGGGTGGAGTAGTGATGGTGGGTGGAGTACTGATGGTGGTGGGTGGAGTAGTCATGGTGGTCAGTGGAGTGGTGGTGGTGGGTGTAGTACTGATAGTTGTGGGTGGAGTACTGATAGTGGTGGGCAGAGTACTGATAGTGGTGGGCAGAGTACTGATAGTGGTGGGTGGAGTAGTGATGGTGGTGGGTGGAGTACTGATGGTGGTGGGTGGAGTAGTGATGGTGGTGGGTGGAGTAGTGATGGTGGTGGGTGGAGTAGTGATGGTGGTCGGTGGAGTGGTGGTGGTGGGTGGAGTACTGATAGTTGTGGGTGGAGTACTGATAATGGTGGGTGGAGTACTGATAGTGGTGGGTGGAGTACTGATGGTGGTGGGTGGAGTAGTGATGGTGGTTGGTGGAGTGGTGGGTGGAGTACTGATAGTGGTGGGTGGAGTACTGATAGTGGTGGGTGGAGTAGTGATGGTGGTGGGTGGAGTACTGATAGTGGTGGGTGTAGTAGTGATGGTGGTGGGTGCAGTAGTGATGGTGGTGGGTGCAGTAGTGATGGTGGTGGGTGCAGTAGTGATGGTGGTGGGTAGAGTAATGATGGTGGTGGGTGGAGTAGTGATGGTGGTGGGTGGAATAGTGATAGTGGTCGGTGGAGTACTGATAGTGGTAGGTGGAGTAGTGATGGTGGTTGGAGTGGTGGTTGGTGGTGGGTGGAGTAGTGATGGTGGTTGGAGTGGTGGTGGTGGTGGTGGGTGGAGTAGTGATGGTGGTGGGCGAGTACTGATAGTGGTGGGTGGAGTAGTGATGGTGGTTGATGGAGTAGTGATGGTGGTGGATGGATGTAGTGATGGTGGTTGGTGGAGTGGTAGTGATGGTGGGTGGAGTACTGATAGTGGTAGGTGGAGTAGTGATGGTGGTGGGTGGAGTACTGATAGTGGTGGGTGTAGTAGTGATGGTGGTGGGTGCAGTAGTGATGGTGGTGGGTGCAGTAGTGATGGTGGTGGGTGGAGTTAGTGATGGTAGTGGGTGGAGTAGTGATGGTGGTGGGAGTAGTGATGGTGGTGGGTGGAGTACTGATAGTGGTGGGTGGAGTATGATGGTGGTGGGTGAACCAGTGATGGTGGTGGGTGAAGTAGTGATGGTGGTCAGTGGAGTATGGTGGTGGGTTGAGTAGTGATGGTGGTGGGTGAAGTAGTGGTGGTGGTCAGTGGAGTAGTGATGGTGGTGGGTGAAGTAGTGATGGTGGTGGGTGGGGTAGTGATGGTGGTGGGTGGGGTAGTGATGGTGGTGGGTGGGGTAGTGATGGTTGCCGGAGTAGTAATGGTGGTGGGTGGAGTACTGATAGTGGTGGGTGGAGCAGTGATGGTGGTGGGTGGAGTAGTGATGGTGGTGGGTGAAGTAGTGATAGTGGTGGGTGAAGTAGTGATGGTGGTGGGTGAAGTAGTGATAGTGGTGGGTGAAGTAGTGATATTGGTGGGTGGAGTAGTGATGGTGGTCGGTGGAGTAGTGATAGTGGTGGGTTCAAACACAACCCATTATTTATTTTTCTGTCATTGATAGCAAAATTTTATGCATTAAATTGCAATCTCTCTTGCTTTTTTCTAAATGTTTTGACTAATTAAACATATGTTGTTTTAATAAATACTTGGTATATTTTAAGTTTTAATATCTTGTTTTTTCATGATTTACTCCAATTTTGCTGCATTAAATCTGATTTATTACCCATAGCATTTTGAATAGCCCAGACAGGCTAAGTGTAGTTTCTCTATTACAGGCTTCTAGCTCATATGGACTACATATAAAAATCTAGTATAGTTCCAAAACTAATACTAAAATAAAGTCTTAGAAAAGTTTTAAAGATTTAATTGAAAATGATTTAAAAAATGACTCCATAAATTATAATATAGAAGGGTAAAGATTTAATACTGAAAGAACTTGCAATGAACATTATACCCACAAATAATTTCCCTCAAAGGAAGTGAGGAAAGCAGCATTTATGAAGGGGTTCGGGAAAACAAGTTAATGGGGCTTGAGCCCTGGAGGTCAGAAGTAGAGGGCCTGCACTCTGGAGGAGGAGGAGGAGGAGGAGGAGTAGGAATATTGCAGTTTGGAGGGGCATCTGAGCTGTAGTGTGGTACACCTCTAACAAGATGGTGATAGTGTGAGTGACAGTCAAAGTGTTTCTGCTTCTATTCTGGGTCACCTTACCTCAGCAGGAAATGGCTGGTGTGTTAAAATATAACAGAAAATCACAACCACTGATATAGTATCTTCAGCATTCTTTGGTAATACCATACAACAAAATAAAAGATGTTTTGTACAAGAAAAATTGTTAGTAAAAGTACAACAGACTAACATGTCATGTTTGTAGATAAACAAGTTACAGGAAGTCAAGCCTTCACGATGTTTGTCGAGGTAAGGCTGTGCCTCTTGAGTTCGCTCAATTTTTCCTATAAAATAGGTTCACATTTCAGCAATTTGCATTTCACTGCCTTGTGGCAGAACATTATGTAAATTATGAGGGAAGACCATACTGCAAGACTAACAGTTTAAACATGAAAGGCATTCTCTGTTGAAGGATAACACAAACTCTCTATCAGCTACTAGGTAAAGTGATATTTTGGGATTTTTTATATATAACATTACAGTAGAAATAATGAAAATACGTAGCTTATTAGACACAGAAAAACATAAAACTATTCATTCTTTGGTTTAGAAAGCATTGACAATAATGATTAATAGAGCACCTTAGCACTGTTATACCTAAATAATATAATTCCATGTTGCATATGTAGTACAGTATATTATTCATGATACAAATACATACAAGTCTTTATCTCCAAAAAGCTTGCAATGGATAAAATTGCTACAAAAAAAAAAAAAAAAGGGGCATGGATTTCAAGCTTAATTGAAAGTCACTGATTATGCAAAGCATTTTAGGAATACAATGGTTATACCTTAAACCTAAGACTAGAAACTACAATGAATAGAATAAGTTTGTTTGCTTGAATAATACTAGTAAGTTTAACAGTTAATACTAAGCAACAACAACCTAAACTGAATTGACAATGTTAATTCCATTAATAATTGTATGGCAACAATATCACATTTGATATGAACAAGTCATTAACAATCAAAGCAGTAATCACATAAGGGTAATAAGGCATCTTTTAACAAGAGTTTTGAAGCATATGGCAGACTGAGAACTTTTCTTTTGCATCTTTAGGTAGTGAGTACCATTTTTCAGTGCTTTTTACCTGCATGGAGTTCCTAAACACATTAAGTGTTGTATATTTTGTTTTACCTTTGTCTTGGACTTAGAAAATGACAATGTAAAACTCTTCACAAAACACTTAAGTCTAACAGTGCTTACTATAAAATTAAGAAGCCATAAAATAATTAATTTTTTTATATTTTTTATTAACACACTGGCCGATTCCCATCAAGGCAGGGTGGCCCGAAAAAGAAAAACTTTCACCATCATTTACTCCATCGCTGTCTTGCCAAAAAGGTGCTTTACACTACAGATTTTAAGCTGCAACATTAACACCCTTCCTTCAGAGTGCAGGCACTGTGCTTCCCATCTCAAGGACTCAAGTCCGGCCTGCTGGTTTCCCTGAATCCCTTCATAAATGTTACTTTGCTCACACTCCAACAATTTTTTTATATACGCTATTATTATTATAATAAACAGGTATAGTAAAATCTCTTGCTACACAATGACTGAGGTATGGAGTCATATCTACAATGGTTTAAAAGCATTTTTATTAAAGGAGCAAATTTTCACATGAATACTTAGCCAAGCAACTAATACAGTATTGAGTGATATTTAACTGTATTATATCAAGTACAGTGGAACCTCGACTGACAAGTGCCCCAACATACGAGTTTTTCGAGTTACAAGTCGTCGCTTGGTTGATTTTTTGCTCTGAGTTACAAGCCAATATCCGAGTTACGAGCGAGCTTCAGATACACCGCCACTAGTTGGTGCAGCGAATGCCACAACATCTGCTCAGCAGTGCACGTGTTTACCTCGCCGTGAATGCATCTCTCTTGTGTTGTGCTTGCCTTTTGTGCAGTTATTTTGCCAAATTTCTTTTTTATAACTATGGGTCCTAAGAAAGTAAGTGCAAAGGACAGTACTAAGAAGAATGAGGATGATGTCCATTGAATTAAAGCATGAAATCATAGAAAAAACACGAGTGAGGTGTGCGGGTAGTGGAGTTGGCGAGGCAGTACCAGCAAAGTAGTATTTCTACAATATGTACCATACTAAAGCAGAACAAACTCGTCCAATGAAGTGAAAAAAATAAAAAACAAATTGTAGCAATTAAGTTCACTGATAAAGTGTAGCATTAAGAGTGTAGCACGTAAGTTAACCCTTAACCGGTCCAAACAGATCGGCGTTCAAATTCGTAGTGCCACAAAAGTAGATCTACTTTTTTTTACATATTTTCAAATATAACAAAAAAAAAATTTAGATAAAAGTTTTTTTTTACACATTTTCAAATGCAAAACAAAAAAGAAGATCTACATTTTTTTACATACTTTCAGATGTTGAAAAAACGTATATATACGTTTGGACCATTTAAGGGTTAAGCGATTAAGCAATAGAAAAAAAGCACAAAATGAAATGAACTCCTCCAGTCTCCTCTGCCTATCTTTGTTGTTGTTGTTGGGGTTTATAGGGCCACTGACAGCATACACCGCTCTGCATATCTTTTCCACCCTCCCTTCCGCCAGCATCTGTTCTCCAAAGTAAATACGTACACTTTATAAAACCAGTTTATTCCTTTACATTCTCTATTGTTTTATGTTTTTATAAAATATTTCTTATTTATAAATACAGGTACCATCCGACTTACGACTGAGTTCAGTTCCGAGAAACCGGTCGTAAGTCGAAATGGACTTAAGTCGAGCTTTGCTACTGAATATTAACATCACATTTTTGTAATGACTTTATTGTATCGTTTTATTTTGGTATTTCATGTTTTACTTTACTTTTTATGCTGTTAGTACTGTATTTTATATTGTATGGTTTAGGATAAACACTGTACAACACAGACAGTTGTTTATTTCCCAGAAATTTGGCATAAAAAATACGGTCGTAAGTCGAATGGTCGTATGTCGAGCAGGTCGTAAGTCGGATGGTAGGTGTACACTGTTTCAGTGTTTTCCTTATAAAACTAGTAATCTAGTGCAGTTAGCCTCACAAACACTCCATTTCTTCTTATAATAAGACTTCAGAAGGGGAAGCATGGGAAGATATGGTCAGAGCGATTATTTTTACCTCGGGAGTGGCCGACACCACTCGTCACATGACATTTTATTAATTCTAGAGTGTATATCATGTTTCTATGTTAATTTAATTGTTTATTAGATCAACTGTGATAGATAAATAAGCCATAGAGTTGATATTAGCATTATACTGAAGTATTTTCTTCTGCCTCCCAAGAGCAGGAATTCCGCTGAAACAGATTAAAGACATTTCAATTAATTTAAACGAGAAACACTGATTTGATTTACTGTATGAGCAAACTGATTTATGAGCTAGGTCACGGAATGGATTAAACTCATAAGTCAAGGTACCACTGTACAGAATTGTACTGCAAAACTATCTCATATTTCATATACATGCAAAGCACCATTCTTACATACTAGTAATGCATAACTGTGAAAACTAATTCATAGTCTAATGATTCTTTGGTTCCCTAAGCAAATGTTTTAACAGGCCTGTGCTTCTTGTCAGGATCAGGAATATAATATCTAGTCCAAGACTCCACAAAGGCAGTTCGACGAGACCAAGGTTTGAAATGACCATTCCAATGCAGTAATTTGGCTTTTTTAATAAATTGTTTTGAATAGCCTCCACCTGATGTCGCTCCTGGAAAAAATAACATTCTAATAAGAACTAGGTGTATAATTTTAGATTAAAACTTTTCATAGTGCTGAAAAGTTAAAAGCATCATTATGGTGTAGGATAAAAAGTGTGCATTATTTTCTTCATCCCATCTCCTAAAAAAAAAAAAAAAAAAATTGTAATATCTGGTCCCAAAAAACAATGATTATTACTTACAGATCTGTTAACCTCACTTAACATCTTAACCTATGTACCATCCCTGCACATACAGTACTATCTAGAAGCATTAGGATTTCCTAGTATAGTAGGGCCCCGATTTATGGCGTTCCGCTAATACAGACATTTCAAATTATGATCAAAACTCGCTATACACCTCCCCCACCTGACTTTCTATTACGGTCACTGTGCCCCACCCAGTTTGTTTACATTCTCTGTGAGCACCGCATCTCTCCATTATGTCTGGAAACTTCCCAAAATTTTGAGTGTTTTAAAGTTATTTCATGCTTTATATAGTATACAGTGGTACCTCGAGTTTCGAACAGCTCCCAACTCGAACAATTATGTAAGTGTATTTTTGTAAGTGCTTTTGTAAGTGTATTTTTGGGAGTCTGAAACAGACTAATCTAATTTACATTATTCCTTATGGGAACAAATTCGTTCAGTATCAGCACTCGAACAGCTTTCTGGAATGAATTAAGTTCGTAACTTGAGGTACCACTGTACTCTGATAATTATACTTGTGTGTATCTGTACCTAAATAAACTTACATACTGTGCTCGCATGCAGGTACACGTTAAAGTCACTAAGAATGTCTTATTAGTCTTGAGAATGCCATATTAATAATGAGTCTCGACCCCTGCAACCACAAATAGGCGAGTACTCTGAGGCACATTAAATGTCGCATATTATGTTAATAATATATGTTTTCACTGATTCATCTATGATATTTTTTCAAAATTATATAATAAACATACTATGTAACATATAAACATGATAAATACACCCCACAGTAGAATAAATTAACATAATATGAAAAGTTAGGTGTATATGAACGTGTATCAAACAAAACCAGATGCCGTCTGTTTACATACTCCATGACTCTCGTCTCTCATTTATTTTTCTCTCTCTCTCTCGTTTATTCATTTTTATATCGTTTACTCACCTCTCACCCTACATTAAGACTACAAATATTTTAAGGTAAGTAATGAGTGTGCTGTATATGGATTTTATTGCTCTAGGGTGCAGGCGAGTGATCGTTTGTGCCCTAGAGCAAACCCGTTCAGTCTTGTGTTTTTACATTGTCTGAACTCCGTGTATCTCATCCTATTTCGTTAACTAGTTGGCTTTCATTGACGAGGGCGTTTAAGCTTAGTTGTGATAAAAAGAAGAGTCATAAGCCTCTTACTTTAACCCTTTCAGGGTTGGTGCTGTACTAGTACGGCTTGCATGCCACGGTTGGTGCCGTACTAATACGGCTTGCATGCCAGGGTTGGTGCCATACTAGTACGCATAAATTCTAGTGCCTTCAAAGCTAGCGAGAGAAAGCTGGTAGGCCTACATATGAAAGAATGGGCTATGTGGTCAGTGCGCGCAGTATAAGGAGAAAAAAAACTCCGACCGTGTTTTTGGTTTAAAACAGCGACTTTGCAGTGTATTTTCGTATGCTATTTTTGGTTGTATTCTAGTTTTCCTGGTCTCATTTTATAGAATGAAAGACATATTATGGATATTGAGTTGATTTTGATTGGTTTCACAATGAAAAGTACCTTCATATTGAGCTCAAAGTAGCAGAAATATTCGATTTTTGCCAAAGTTCAAAAGTAAACAAAACATGCCATGCGTCCAATACACGTCAACTGGTGAGTCTAATATTCTTTCACAAGTGTGCTGACATTATTTATACCATTTCTACACTAATGCAGTAGTCTGCATAACACTGAATCTTCTATTTTTTGTGAGAATAAAAATTCAAAGTGGAAAGCAAAAGAAATGTAACAGAGGCCTGGGGACATGACTAATGAACAGAGGAAATGTTATTTTAGTGCCAGGAATGTCTGCCTTGTTTATTCTGGACCCTATTTGGAAACTGGCATCTTTTGAAATTTGAGTGAAATTGGCAAAATTGCCAATTTCTGACCACTTTATTGGATAGTTGAAATTGGTAAATGGGTGGTTTCTTGTACTCATTCGATAGAAAAAATGGAGTTCTAGCGAAATAGTATGATTTTCGTCGACTGGTACAGTGGAATTGGCAGAAAATAGGGCTCAAAGTGGGCGAAATCGCCGATGCGTAAACATGGTTGAGACCGCTAACTTTGCGAGAGCATAATTCTGTAAGTTTTCCATCAAATTTCATACTTTTGGTGTCATTATGATCAGGTAAAGATTCTCTATCATTTCATAAGAAAAAATAACTATTTTTTTTTCGAAAAATTTCCGACCCTGAGAACAAGCTTAGGAGAGGGTTTGCCGACCCTGAAAGGGTTAAGTGCCAAGTTAGAAATGATAAACTTAGTGAATTGACTTTTATGGGTTATCCAGTGGAGATGTCCTGTCTAAGGGCAATGTGTGGTGTAAATATTATGCAGAAAATTCGGAGCGTGGAAATTAGGAAAAGATGTGGAGTTAATAAAAGTACTGTATTAGTCAGAGGGCTGAAGAGGGGTTGTTGAGGTGGTTTGGTCATTTAGAAAGAATGGATCAAAGTAGAATGACATGGAGAGCGTATAAATCTGTAGGGGAAGGAAGGTGGGGTAGGGGTTGTCCTTGAAAAGGTTGGAGGGAGAGGGTAAAGAAGGTTTTGTGGCCAAGGGGCTTGGGCTTCCAGCAATCGTCCGTGAGCGTGTTAGAGAGGAGTGAATGGAGATGAATGGTATTTGGGACCTGACAAGCTGTTGGAGTGTGATCAGGGTAATATTTAGTGAGGGGATTCAGGGAAACCAGTTATTTTTATATAGCCGGACTTGAGTCCTTGAAATGGGAAGTACAATGCCTGCACTTTAAAGGAGGGGTTTGGGATATTGGCAGTTTGGAGGAATATGTTGTGTATCTTTATATGTAATAGGTAGTAGGTTGTGTATCTTTATATGTAATAGGTAGTAGGTTGGTAGACAGCAACCACCCAGGGAAGTACTACCGTCCTGCCAGATGACTGTGAAACAAAAACCTGTAACTGTTTTGCATGATGGTAGGATTGCTGGTTTCTTTTTCTGTCTCATAAACACGCTAAGATAACAGGGATATCTTGCTACTCCTACTTACACTTTGGTCACACTTCACAGACACGCACATGCATATATATATATACATACATCTAGGTTTTTCTCCTTTTTCTAAATAGCTCTTGTTCTTTTTTATTTCTTCTATTGTCCATGGGGAAGTGGAAAAGAATCTTTCCTCCGTAAGCCATGCGTGTCGTATGAGGCGACTAAAATGCCGGGAGCAATGGGCTAGTAACCCCTTCTCCTGTATACAATTACTAAAAAAGAGAAGAAGAAAAACTTTATAAAACTGGGTTGCTTAAATGTGCGTGGATGTAGTGCGGATGACAAGAAACAGATGATTGCTGATGTTATGAATGAAAAGAAGTTGGATGTCCTGGCCCTAAAGCGAAACAAAGCTGAAGGGGGTAGGAGAGTTTCAGTGGGGGGAAATAAATGGGATTAAATCTGGAGTATCTGAGAGAGTTAGAGCAAAGGAAGGGGTAGCAGTAATGTTAAATGATCAGTTATGGAAGGAGAAAAGAGAATATGAATGTGTAAATTCAAGAATTATGTGGATTAAAGTAAAGGTTGGATGCGAGAAGTGGGTCATAATAAGCGTGTATGCACCTGGAGAAGAGAGGAATGCAGAGGAGGAGAGAGAGAGATTTTGGGAGATGTTAAGTGAATGTATAGGAGCCTTTGAACCAAGTGAGAGAGTAATTGTGGTAGGGGACTTGAATGCTAAAGTAGGAGAAACTTTTAGAGAGGGTGTGGTAGGTAAGTTTGGGGTGCAGGTGTAAATGATAATGGGAGCCTTTGATTGAACTTTGTATAGAAAGGGGTTTAGTTATAGGTTAATACATATTTTAAGAAAAAGAGGATAAATAAGTATACACGATATGATGTAGGGCGAAATGACAGTAGTTTGTTGGATTATGTATTGGTAGATAAAAGACTGTTGAGTAGACTTCAGGATGTACATGTTTATAGAGGGGCCACAGATTTATCAGATCACTTTCTAGTTGTAGCTACACTGAGAGTAAAAGGTAGATGGGATACAAGGAGAATAGAAGCATCAGGGAAGAGAGAGGTGAAGGTTTATAAACTAAAAGAGGAGGCAGTTAGGGTAAGATATAAACAGCTATTGGAGTGATAGATGGGCTAATGAGAGCATAGGCAATGGGGTCGAAGAGGTATGGGGTAGGTTTAAAAATGTAGTGTTAGAGTGTCCAGCAGAAGTTTGTGGTTACAGGAAAGTGGGTGCAGGAGGGAAGAGGAGCGATTGGTGGAATGATGATGTAAAGAGAGTAGTAAGGGAGAAAAGTTAGCATATGAGAAGTTTTTTACAAAGTAGAAGTGATGCAAGGAGGGAAGAGTATATGGAGAAAAAAGAGAGAAGTTAAGAGAGTGGTGAAGCAATGTAAAAAGAGAGCAAATGAGAGAGTGGGTGAGATGTTATCAACAAATTTTGTTGAAAATAAAGAAAAAGTTTTGGAGTGAGATTAACAAGTTAAGAAAGCCTAGAGAACAAATGGATTTGTCAGTTAAAAATAGGAGAGGAGAGTTATTAAATGGAGAGGTAGAGGTATTGGGAAGATGGAAGGAATATTTTGAGGAATTGTTAAATGTTGATGAAGATAGGGAAGCTGTGATTTCGTGTATAGGGCAAGGAGGAATAACATCTTGTAGGAGTGAGGAAGAGCCAGTTGTGAGTGTGGGGGAAGTTCGTGAGGCAGTAGGTTAAAATGAAAGGGGGTAAGGCAGCCGGGATTGATGGGATAAAGGTAGAAATGTTAAAAGCAGGTGGGATATAGTTTTGGAGTGGTTGGTGCAATTATTTAATAAATGTATGGAAGAGGGTAAGGTACCTAGGGATTGGCAGAGAGCATGCATAGTTCCTTTGTATAAAGGCAAAGGGGATAAAAGAGAGTGCAAAAATTATAGGGGATAAGTCTGTTGAGTGTACCTGGTAAAGTGTATGGTAGAGTTATAATTGAAAGAATTAAGAGTAAGACGGAGAATAGGATAGCAGATAGAACAAGGAGGCTTTAGGAAAGGTAGGGGGTGTGTGGACCAGGTGTTTACAGTGAAACATATAAGTGAACAGTATTTAGATAAGGCTAAAGAGGTCTTTGTGGCATTTATGGATTTGGAAAAGGCGTTATGACAGGGTGGATAGGGGGGCAATGTGGCAGATGTTGCAAGTGTATGGTGTAGGAGGTAGGTTACTGAAAGCAGTGAAGAGTTTTTTACGAGGATAGTGAGGCTCAAGTTAGAGTATGTAGGAAAGAGGGAAATTTTTCCCAGTAAAAGTAGGCCTTAGACAAGGATGTGTGATGTCACCGTGGTTGTTTAATATATTTATAGATGGGGTTGTAAGAGAAGTAAATGCGAGGGTCTTGGCAAGAGGCGTGGAGTTAAAAGATAAAGAATCACACACAAAGTGGGAGTTTGTCACAGCTGCTCTTTGCCGATGACACTGTGCTCTTGGGAGATTCTGAAGAGAAGTTGCAGAGATTGGTGGATGAATTTGGTAGGGTGTGCAAAAGAAGAAAATTAAAGGTGAATACAGGAAAGAGTAAGGTTATGAGGATAACAAAAAGATTAGGTGATGAAAGATTGAATATCAGATTGGAGGGAGAGAGTATGGAGGAGGTGAACGTATTCAGATATTTGGGAGTGGACGTGTCAGCGGATGGGTCTATGAAAGATGAGGTGAATCATAGAATTGATGAGGGAAAAAAGAGTGAGTGGTGCACTTAGGAGTCTGTGGAGACAAAGAACTTTGTCCTTGGAGGCAAAGAGGGGAATGTATGAGAGTATAGTTTTACCAACGCTCTTATATGGGTGTGAAGCGTGGGTGATGAATGTTGCAGCGAGGAGAAGGCTGGAGGCAGTGGAGATGTCATGTCTGAGGGCAATGTGTGGTGTGAATATAATGCAGAGAATTCGTAGTTTGGAAGTTAGGAGGAGGTGCGGGATTACCAAAACTGTTGTCCAGAGGCTGAGGAAGGGTTTGTTGAGGTGGTTCGGACATGTAGAGAGAATGGAGCGAAACAGAATGACTTCAAGAGTGTATCAGTCTGTAGTGGAAGGAAGGCGGGGTAGGGGTCGGCCTAGGAAGGGTTGGAGGGAGGGGGTAAAGGAGGTTTTGTGTGCGAGGGGCTGGACTTCCAGCAGGCATGCGTGAGCGTGTTTGATAGGAGTGAATGGAGACAAATGGTTTTTAATACTTGACGTGCTGTTGGAGTGTGAGCAAAGTAACATTTATGAAGGGATTCAGGGAAACCGGCAGGCCGGACTTGAGTCCTGGAGATGGGAAGTACAGTGCCTGCACTCTGAAGGAGGGGTGTTAATGTTGCAGTTTAAAAACTGTAGTGTAAAGCACCCTTCTGGCAAGACAGTGATGGAGTGAATGATGGTGAAAGTTTTTCTTTTTCGGGCCACCCTGCCTTGGTGGGAATCGGCCGGTATGATAATAATAAAATAATAAAATAATCTTTATATGTATATATGCTTCTAAACTGTTGTATTCTGAGCACCTCTGCAAAAACAGTGATTATGTGTGAGTGAGGTGAAAGTGTTGAATGATGATGAAAGTATTTTCTTTCTTGTTATTTTCTTTCTCTTTTGGGTCACCCTGCTTCGGTGGGAGACGGCCAACTTGTTAAAAAAAAAAAATAAATAAATAAAGGCTAAATTATTAAAGGAAATCCATACATCCAATGGCAAACCAGTAAATTTTTTTTTTAAATGCTTTTAAAGGTTGGTAGTTATCAAAATATACGAGAAAGATTCTGCATAAGGTTGCTCATTCCAAAGCATCAAGGTATCCCAGATATAAGGACACAGAATATATTTATAAAATGCTATTCAAAAACAGAATGATAACTAATATTTTTTAATACAAAAAGGGAAATCATGCTAATAATTATAACCACTACTTTACCCAGGTCCCCCACATGCCATAGCTGTGGAAGAGGGGATACACGGTTGTACATAACGATTAGCATTGCAGCCTCAGCCTCATCAGCCTCTGGTTCCAATCCATAGATGGGGTCACTGTACAATAAACAAACAATTAAAATTCACTATTCCATAACCTGTGTCAAGTTTTAAGTAGTGTATAAGCATTAGGATTAGATTGCCTGAAATGCTCAGGCATGCTAGTGGCTTTCTTTGTGCTTAACAATATTTTATTACATGTAAACTACACATTGTATACAATGCAAAGAAATAAACCTTTAAATCTGAATTTGAATTTTAACTAAGGCTTTTTAATTAGAATACGTAAATTTTATAAAATACGAATAGTATATAAGAAGTTTTTTTACTCATATGCAGTGCCAACTTACATTCATGCTTGAGTGATTAGTTGCCGATAAGCAAAATATATCTAGCTAAATGTACATAAATGTATGCAGTTGAAGAGGTAATTGATATATTATTCTTTGAAAAAACCTAGACAATAAAATGATCATTTGAATATTACAGTAAAACCTCTAGGATAAAATATATTCCATTATGTGATATGACAGATTACTATTTAATTTTAATAACTTTATACAGTACTATTAAACTTTTATTAAAATAATAATTACAGTGGACCCTCGACCAACGATGGCATCGATTAACGATAAATCTGACCAGCGATACATTTTAACGCAAAATTTTTGCCTCGACTAGCGCTAAAAAACATGACCAACACTATTTGTTCCGTCAGACGTGTCCACTTCTGGCCAGTGTTTACAAGCCAGCCAGCCACCGCGGTCGCTTCCAAGCATACAATCGGAACATTTCATGTTATCACAACCTCAAATCCTAATGGAAGGGGATTCCCCTTCTAAACACTAAGACCATCAACACTCTCCCCTCCTCCCATCCCAACAGTCATCACCAGATCTTCAATAAAGGTAAGTGTCATGTATCTGTGCATGTCTTCTTCAGTTTGTGTGTATTAAAATTAATATTTCATGTGGTAAAAACAATTTTTTTTTTCATACTTTGGGGTGTCCTACACGGATTAATTTGATTTCCATTATTTCTTATGGGGAAAATTAACTTGACTAACGATGAGCTCTCAGGAACGGATTAATAGCGTTAGTCGAGGGTCCACTGTATATTAAGCTTTGCATTAAAATAATCTAACTTTGACTATACAATGTAAAGTAGTTTAAAATTCTAGCTTTAGTCTGCTTTAAGTGATATACATAATCAGGGGCTTTTCAGCATGAATGAAATAAACTGAATTCTGTAACAGTTATGTACATTTTGAAAATAAAACTGGTTTGTTGATATGTTTTGTCTATTTGAATCAACTTACTTTTTACTACTGTTTACCCAGTCCATTAACAAAAGGGAAACATTTGAGCTTTTCCAAACATTCATGTCTGCCACAAAGACATCTGTATTGAAGGTACACGATTTCGGTTTAATCTTGAAACCTCTCAGCTTGGGGTGCTGTAGGTTGATGTGTGTCGAGTATCGAGGTTTTGCCAAATTGAACCGTTTAGAGCCTGAATTACATTCCTCTGAGAAAGCGCCCAAATGAGAACTTCTTATATCTACGTCAATCAGCTCACTCACATCACCTGAGAAATTAAAAAAGGTTTGTGGGATTAATAACACACATACTCACACAAAACCAAAAAAAACAATAACTTTAGCATACAATTTTCAATTTTGTTAAATGCTGCAGTTTGAATAAATATTGAAAGGGGTTATGCAGCAAAAAAAAAAAAAAATAAGATATAATAGAGTAGAAGAAACATACAGTACAGTTATTATTTTAAAAAATTCATGCTTGGAGTATTTAAATTATACAAACTCAGAAAATTTTCTCTCTCCAGAAAAATCAAAGGCAGAGATAATTTCCAAATTAATTTTTCTTTTGCATTTTTTTCAGAAAATTCTGAATTTCTGAGATTCATTCTCAATAACAATGAATTTGTATTTTCTGATTTTGAGAGAATTCCTTTCAAGAAAGGATACAATCCAAGAGGTTACTGCAAAAACCAACACCAAAAATACTACTGCAATTATTCAACATTATACAACTTACTTTCTACATCCCTGGGTTTTGGTTAAAATGTTTATATTGTAATTCTTAAAAACACAGTAAAAGAGGTGAACCCCAACAAGCACTGTTTGTCAATTCCACAGAACAAGGATGCAAGGGTGGCCTATGTTAATTTTTTTTTTTTTTCAACAAGTCGGCCGTCTCCCACCGAGGCAGGGTGACCCAAAAAAGAAAGAAAATCCCCAAAAAGAAAATACTTTCATCATCATTCAACACTTTCACCACACTCGCACACTATGTTAAATATAGTATTAAAATACTGGAGTGGTTAGTTAGCAATACAGCGACAACAAGTATGGTAAAGAGATACAGTAGGCAGAGCTAGTCTTTACTCTGATGTTTAGCTCAGTGTTGAGCTTTATCATTATGCTAATATAGCTTCAAGACTTTATAAAGCTCAATAATGAGCTATACATTATCAGAGTAAAGAGTTACTCCAAATGCTGTCTTTCTTGATCATGCAATGAAAAAATAATGATTTTCCTAAAACCTGGTAGCTCCCAAAACACACAAGTTCTGTCTATCATAATACAGTAGGAAACTGTACAGTGTGTAACATTAAGCTGCAAAGAAAATGATAATGAAGCACTCACTAGAAGTAGGTGAGCATCCTTCATTAACTTGACTTGAACTGTGTCAAGTGAAAAGTGGCATTTGCTGCAGCTTAGTTGACGAATCCTGCTTCCCTCCCTTATGCACAAACATAATGCTGTATAACATCCAATTTTATGTCCAAAATGTTGTTTTCTGTTAGCCTTTGAACAAGGCTTTTTAAAGTTAATCAGGAATGTGATGGAATGACAGCTGTGATAATATATTCGCAGAAATTTTCTAGTAAATGACTGCCATGGTCACCATAGAACTTGTGTGCATGAAGAAGGGGTTGGCTGACAAAAGATAGTTTTCTTGCCAATTTCAGTTACACCTGACACTTGCTGCTGTATGTACCTAACATCTTCCATTACTTTAAGGAAAATAGAATAGTACACATCTTATGGTGTTGAAATTTGTGGACTGCTCTGATTGCCAGGGCATCTGTATATCAAACTGCTGTACCATCTTCCTTATCTAACTAGTAAAACTCATTTATATTGCATACTTTTAGTAAATAGGTTCCTTCTTTAATTATGTCCAGTGAAATGGAATGCTGCATGTTTTCATTTTGTATAAAAATATCATAACTCATGGAAGGTCATGACACTGCAAGCACTGGCTGTGCTATACCAGACCATTCTGTGTAAACTAACTCTCCCAACATGTAGGAAAACAATCCAGTCTTATCTACAGTGAATAATCATATTATTTAGCAAACTTCTCCATTACCTTCCAGCAAAAGAAAATGCTGCATTTGTTCATTTAATGAATAAATATTGTAGATGGGCAAGAGAAATCTTATCATTGCCTTGCAATGCGTTTCTTGTAAAAATTATCTAAATATCCATTAATTATGAGAAGAAACCAAAGTGAGGGGTGGGATTAAATTATGGGGAATTCAATACAAAATGGGAAGTGACACAGTTACTTTTTGCTGATGATACTGTGCTTATGGGAGATTCTAAAGAAAAATTGCAAAGGTTAGTGTACGAATCTGGGAGTGAGTAAAGGTAGAAAGTTGAAAGTGAACATAGAAAAGAGTAAGGTGATGAGGGTATCAAATGATTTAGATAAAGAAAAATTGTATATCAAATTGGGGAGGAGGAGTATGGAAGAAGTGAATGTTTTCAGATATTTGGGAGTTGACGTGTCAGCGGATGGATTCATGAAGGATGAGGTTAATCATAGAATTGATGAAGGAAAAAAGGTGAGTGGTGCATTGAGGTATATGTGGAGGCAAAAAATGTTATCTATGGAGGCAAAGAAAGGAATGTATGAAAGTATAGTAGTACCAACACTCTTATATGGGTGTGAAGCTTGGGTTGTATATGCTGCAGCGAGGAGGCGGTTGGAGGCAGTGGAGATGTCCTGTCTAAGGGCAATGTTTGGTGTAAATATTATGCAGAAAATTCGGAGTGTGGAAATTAGGAGAAGGTGTGGAGTTAATAAAAGTGTATTAGTCAGAGGGCTGAAGAGGATTTGTTGAGGTGGTTTGGTCATTTAGAGAAAATGGATCAAAGTAGAATGACATGGAGAGCGTATAAATCTGTAGGGGAAGGAAGGCGGGGTAGGGGTCGTCCTTGAAAAGGTTGGAGGGAGGGGGTAAAGGTGGTGTTGTGGGTGAGGGGTTTGGACTTTCAGCGTGCGTGAGCGTGTTAGATAGGAGTGAATGGAGACTAATGGTATTTGGGACCTGACGATCTGTTAGAATGTGAGCAGGGTAATATTTAGCGAAGGGATTCAGGGAAACCGGTTATTTTATATAACCGGACTTGAGTCCTGGAAATGGGAAGTACAATGCCTGCACTCTAAAGGAGGGGTTTGTGATATTGGCAGTTTGGAGGGATATATTGTGTATTTTTATATGTATATACGTACAGTACTTCTAAACTGTTGTATTCTGGGCACCTCTGCAAAAACAGTGATTATGTGTGAGTGAGGTGAAAGTGTTGAATGATGATGAAAGTATTTTCTTTTTGGGTCACCCTGCCTCGGTGGGAGATGGCCGACTTGTTAAAAAAAAAAAAAATTCTGTAAACTGAATTCTTATTGTTATTAAGAATCTTACCTTGAACAATTACATCAGAATCAAGGTAAATAAATCTCCCATCCAAATCTGGGAAGATTGACTGAAGATATATTTTGGCAAAGTGTGGCTTTCCTTTAGGCATCTGAGGATCATGTGGACGTATGGTGTAGTTGACCCTGTGCAACTTTGTCTGTAGCACCCATTTCCTTTAATGAAGTAGGAGTTTTGTAATTAGAATGGTAATAGGTTTCTTTAAATAAAATATAGTATGTCATAGAAAAAGAGAGAGAGAGACTACTTCAAGAGAACTCATCCCTGGAATAGCATGCAATATAGGTAGTGTGGCATACACACTTGTAACTAAAAAATTAAACCATGTGCTGTACAAGTGTACATGTATACCATAATAACTAATATAATTTACATGCATGAAAATGAAAAGGTACTGTAACATTTCTAGAGGTTACAGAAAAGAACTAAAACTGTAGAAAAAAAAAGGTAAAATTTATGTTAATAATAATTCTTCAACTAACCTGAAATCTGGGATGACAATCTTTGGCAATGTTATATAAAAACGGACAGATGATTTTGTGTTTGACACAACACTGTTCATGGCTGAAGTAACTCCAATAAGTGTATCAGCATTTCCAGAGATCACAATTTTCACAGTTTTACCTGAAATCAAATGAGGGCTGGTTTAAAAATACTGCTCGGAATGCAAGTATAATACAGTACACCCTTGTATTACACGGTAGTTATGTTCCTGAAAATGCTGTTAAATAAATCTGTGTTATATAAACTTTAGAGCTTATGGGAAAAATAGGGTTATGTTCCTGGGACCCCCCAAAAGCCAAACAACCTTTTTCAGACATCCAGATCTTACAAAAATAAAAATGATAATGTTTTTGTTGCTTAAGATTGAAAATGCAACAGAAATAATGTTATTTACCTTAAATTGTGGTCGCTGGTGTGTGTTAGTGATTGTGAAGAGAGTGGAGATGCATGGTGTGGCCCTACTGGGCCGAGGTGGATGGTTGTTGGTTGTCGGCAGAAGTGGATGGTTGAGGTTCTGATACTGAAGTCAATGGTTGTATTGGAGTGTGCATAAATTCTGTAATGGATCTCTGGCTTCTTTTACCTTGCAGTACATTATACATTATTCCAGAAGCTTGGTACTGCCAAGTTGGAATCAAAGTCCAGTGATACAACTAGTTTTTTTCGTCATTTTTCTTGTGTAGTTACACTTGAATGACTTAACTCCCTGATCCAGTGGTTGTATTAAAGATGTATTTGGAGGTAAAACACAACTTTTACATGTGAGGTCACATCCCACAATGCTTTGGGATGAGTATGGGTATTATCAAGAATGAAGAGAGCCTTGAATGCAAGGTTCTTGCTGTACAGGTAAAACTTGACTTCAGGAATAAAGTGATGCTTAAACCAGTCAATAAATATTTCCTCTGACATCCATGCTGACTGTTCTGACCAAATTACTGGTAAGGTGTCTTTATCTACACTTTTCAAAGCATGAGGATTCTTAGAGTGGTAAATAACCATGGGCTTACACTTGAAATCACCTATGTATTACTGTAAAGGAGCAAGGTGAAGCAATCCTTTGCTGCCTTGAAGCCCGGTGCAGCCCTGTGGAGACAGTGGTCTCACCCACAGCCAGGCAGTGGCCTGAGCTAGGGAAATATCCCATGGGTGACACTCCAAATTTTTTCCCCTCCTGCAAACTGAACTGTGTTAAAGTTAATTTTACAAAGTGTTGTATAAATTTATGCAGCAATTTTTCAACAGTGTAATAATCAAAAGTGTGCAAAATAAATCAGTGTAATACGAGGGTCTACTTCTGTATTACAAATTTTAACATAATTTTATTAAAAAACTATGAATCAGATTACAGAATAAAAGCAGTGCCTAAACTCTGAAGGTGAGGTAGGGATGTTGCAACTTCTAGAAAAACAGAAATTGAATGAATTATGGTGAATGTGTTTTCTTCTTTGGGTCACCCTGCCTTGGAGGGAGACAGCCACTGAGATGAAATAAAAAAACATTAATTTTTTTTAATTTATTGCTTAACCCTTTCACTGTTGGAAGCTCCAAAATTAAAAGTGCTCACAATGTCGGCATTTAAAAAAAAAAAAAAGTTGAATTATTTCCATTTCTTTTTCTTAGGTACCTTTATAACATGATGCTGACAACAGCTGGCTAACTTCTAGGTACGTATCTATTTACTGCTAGGTAAGAGAGGCAGCATGTGTTAGGAGACTTGCCCATATATTCACCTCCTAGCAGTGAGGGGAATCTCATGGAAAGGCAAATCAGATATTTTTTTTCTTTTGGTCCCCTTCTCTAAATGTAATACAGTACATAAAAATCCTAACACTAACCTGAGTTTTGTGTGCTGCTAACATTGCTAGTAACTGATGACAATGTATTAACTTTGGACTGATTTCCACTGTTCATCTTGGCTGCTTCAATGAGTTCACCAAGCAACACCTTCAGAAAAAAGACCATACTGTATTTTATTTTCAGTAAAATGTATTTGCAAGTAAAATGCTCTATAAACCCAAAACTACTGTATTCAAGCAAATCTTCCATTTTATTTGAAGAACAGTATCATATTTTTTGAAAGATAGATATTTTTTTGTGGCATACATATACTCTAATTAAGCACACAGTGTTCAACATGTGAAATAATACTGTACAGTACTGAGCACTCCTCAAGCACCTACATGACTTTTGGCTGCCCTAGCCAAAGGAACATTGTCTGCTAGACTGGTATGTGCAGACCTCCGCTGAGTATCAGTAATGTCTCCAGGCTGCCATTTTAGGGAAGACATAACATACACAAGCAGTACGGTCCAACCAACCCCAGTCACCACCACACCTGAAATGTTTTAGATAATCATTAACAAACCTGAGTATATGTAATTCATGTTTCCTTTTATTTTCCATTATTTGTATGTATGTATGTATGATATATATATATATATATATATATATATATATATATATATATATATATATATATATATATATATATATATATATATACATTGGACCCTCTTTTTCATAATTAATCCATTCCAGAGTGTGACTAATGGCAAAATTTACGATCTGCGAAACTATTTTCCCCATAAGAAATAATGTAAATCCAATTAATCCGTTCCAGACACCCAAAAGCATTAAAACAAAATAATTTTTTTACATGAATGATAGATGTACATACACAGAAAACAATGAGACATGAAGAATAAAACAATAATAACATGACACTTACCTTTATTGAAGATTCTTCTTAGTTTATGGAAGATGGAAGGAGGGAAGAGGATGGAGAAATTACTGTTTGGAAGGGGAATCCCCTTCCATAAAGACTTTAGGTACCAAGTCCTTTTCCGGGGTTACTTCCCTTCTTTGTTTTTTAATGCCACTAGGACCAGCTTGGGAGTCACTGCACACCTGAGGCACTAAATATCTGTCTAGAGAGCTCTGTTTCTGGCATCTCTTTAAAATTTCCCTAAAATGGGACAAGACATTGTCATTGTACATGTTGCTGACACGGCTTGCAACAGCTTTGTTGGGTGATGTTCCTCCACAAATCTTTCCATCCTACTCCACATTGCACAAATCTCCATTACTACCTGACTTTACCACCATCATTACCACCCTCTACCACCATCACTACCACCCTCTACCACCATCACTACTACCCTCTACCACCATCACAACCACTACCACCCTCTACCATCATCACAACCACTACCACCATCACAACCACTTCCAACCTCTACCATCATCACTACCACTACCACCCTCTACCACCATCACTACCACCCTCTACCACCAGCACAACCACTACCACTATCACTACCACCACCACTTTTGTATATTTCTACAATCTTTTTCTTTAATTTCATTGTGTTTGTCACCGTCTTTACCTAAGCACTGGCACTAGCTTTCTTTGGGCCCGTGGTGGCTTATTTAGCAGATGTAAGCACTAAAACGAATGGAATATTACAAAATATATCTTATGAATGCGTGGGATCGTGCTAACTCATTGATAAACAATGGCACACTGACTGTGGCTGCGTCGGGGCTGCTCGAACGCATCTGGGACAAATGACTATTTGTGAGTCAAACGACGATTCACGAGTCAATATTTTGACAAAAAACATTACGATTTGCAAAAATTGCAACTTCCGGTGCTTACGAAAAACGAGGGTCCACTGTATATATACATGTATATATAGATATACAGTGGACCCCTGAGTTTCGGCAGCCTCGACTTTCGCGAAATTCGACCTTCGTTGAGTTTTTTTTGGAAAAATTTGGCCTCAAGTTTCGTGAAAAAACTCGTGTTTCGGCGACTGTCCGGTACCCGTCTGCCCGTCACTGCGCACACAAAGATAGTCTCCCATGCCATTCACGCTCAGTGTGCCATTGTTTACCAACACGTGACCATCACCCCGCAGGTTCATACAATACATTTCATAATAATCCATTGTTTTTTGTGTTTGCAACTGCTAAATAAGTCATCATGGACCCAAGGAAAGCTAGTGCAAGCCCTTTGGTAAATAAAGTGAGTGACAGGGATGTGGAAGAGTTGGTGGAGGACCACAGGGAAGAGCTAACCACTGACGAACTGCAAGAGCTTCAACTGGAACAGCATCAGACCACAGCCGAGGAACTTGCTTCAGAGGAGGAGGAAGAGGGAGTGGATGAAGTGCCTTTTACAGTGATTAAGGACATGTGTGGAATGTGAAATGAGTTGCAAAGTTTTGTTGAAAAGTATCACCCTGACCAAGCTGAAACAAGCCATATCTGCAACATGTACAATGACAATATTGTGTCCCACTTCAGGGAAATCTTAAAGAAACGCCAGAAAAAGACCTCTCTGGACAGATATTTTGTGCGCCAGGGGTCCAGTGACTTTCAAGTTGTTCCCAGAGGCATTAAAATAAGAAGGGAAGTAACCCCAGATAAGGACTTGCTACCTAAAGTCCTAATGGAAGGAGATTCTCCCTCCAAACAATAGTGTACACCTTCCTCCTATCACCTCCTCCTATCTTCCATCCACCCAGAAGTCTTCAGTAAAGGTAAGTGTAATGTTATTATTATTTATTTTAAATGCATGTACTTGATTTCTGATTGTTTTCATTATGTAAATCTTTATTTAATTTGAAAAAAATATTTTATTTTAATATTTTTGGGTGTCTGGAACGGATTAATTTTATTTCCATTATTTCTTATGGGGAAAACAGTTTCAAGTTTCGTGAATTTCGACCTTCGGCGGGATCTCTGGAACAGATTAATCATGAAACTCGGGGGTCCATTGTATATATATATACACAGTATATACATACGTATGCGTATATATATGTATATACCCCACGTCAGCTAACTACATGAAAACCGCCTATTCTCTTGTATCATACACACACAAAAAACAACCTAGACCTCCCCTCGATATCTGCGATTCCCCACAATTCGCACTTACGCTCAGCCAATTGACTATAAACATAGAAATACGTAGTATAACTATTACCTAATGAATCTTAACTAGTCATAAGTTTGCCTGTGACACTCCAATATAGGAGCTTCAATAGAAACAATGTGTTGTACCAAAACAAAACCATTCACATTGCTAAATTTACAAACTGTTATGCAGTTACTTAGTCTTAATACTAATATGTTCCATAATTTGTACCAATATAGAGTTTTGAATTAATCTTAGTCTGCCTGAAATGCCTAGTCATGCTAGGTATGATAGTGGTCCTCTCTGTAATTAGTACTACAGTATTTTATAATATGTAAACCACACAATATCCTATAATATGTAAACCCTGCATTGTAATCTTTATAGAGAATAAACTTGATTTCATATATACAGTGTGTGTGTGTGTGTGTGTATATATATACATATATATATATATATATATATATATATATATATATATATATATATATATATATATACACACACATATATATATATATATATACACACACATATATATATATATATACACACACACACATATATATATATATACACACATATATATATATATATATATATATATATATATATATATATATATACAGTGGACCCCGGTTAACGATATTTTTTCATTCCAGAAGTATGTTCAGGTCCCAGTACTGACCAAATTTGTTCCCATAAGGAATATTGTGAAGTAGATTATTCCATTTCAGACCCCCAAACATACACGTACAAATGCACTTACATAAACACACTTACATAATTGGTCACATTGGGAGGTGATCGTTAAGCGGGGGTCCACTGTATATATATATATATATATATCTCAAAACATATATATCATATATATATATATCATATATATATTTATATATATATATATATATATATATATATATATATATATATATATATATATATATATATATATATATATATATATATATCAAAACATCTAGCATTGGCTGGATGCCAAGGTATTGGTCCAGTGTGGTACGGTGGTTAGAGCACTGCGTACCTTGTCCCAAGGTTGGCAGGTTCGAGTCTCTCTTGACCAGAGATTAGTGTTTGTGAATATTTCGCCTGTTCTGCGAATTCTAAACATTGTAAAAATCTCTCGTCGGTCGATGCATGCAGTGGACGAGATGAAATAGCTGATGCCACCTGCCTAAATGCTGGCTACCTTGGATCAAAATGTCTAACGTTGGCTGGACGCCAAGGTTTTAGTCCAGTGTGGTACGGTGGTTAGAGCACTGCATACCTTGTCCCAAGGTTCATAGGTTTGCGTCTCCTTTGACCAGAGATTGGTATTTGTGAATATTTCGCCTGTTCTGCGAATACTAAACATACATACATATATGTCATTCAAAATACAGTGGTAACTATTGACAAAATAAAATAATGTCCAGTATTACATAGGTTCACCGGAAGTGTAATTCATGCACTAAACAAAAGTACCATTTATAGAAGGAGGGGAAAGGAAGAGGAAAGAGGGGAAGAATAAATGAAGAAAAGGTTCTGTCATTTAGGGTTTGGAATAAGATAAGATTGTTTTCGAATTTTTAACCCTGTAGGGTTAGCCATTCAGGATAACCCAAGAAAGGCAGTGCATCCTTGAGGGACTGTCTGTCTTATTTCCACTGGGGTCCTCAATCTTGTCCCCCAGGATGTGACCCATACCATCACCTACTTGCTAGGTGAACAGGACAACATGTGTAAGGAAACGTGTCGAATGTTTCCAACCTCTGCTGGGAATCAAGCCCAGACCTTCAGCGTGTGAAGGGAGAGTTTTGCCAGTTGGGCCATGGGGCCCCGTAAAATAATAAAACAGGGATCCAATTGTTCTTAAGAATGAATACTAAATAATTTGACATATAAATGTACATATTCATATTTTGTCATTCTGATGACAATT